TCGCAAAATAAACTATTTCAAAACAATCAAAAGTTCTTTTAATCTATCACATCCCTACTAATATTATAAATGCGAAAGTATCTCTGTCTGTCTGTCTGTCTGTCTGTTACGCTTTCACGCCTAAACCACTGAACTGATTTTAATAAAATTTGGTACAGAGATGGAGTTGACCTTGAGAAGGAATATAGGATAATTTTTATCTCAAACTTTTGAAAGGTTCTCTTGGAAACGCTATATAACCGAACTCCACGCGGGCGAAGCTGCGGGCGGAAAGCTAGTACTAAACAAAGCTTTATATTAATTTATTATCATAATTTTATTACTTAATGCATATTTTTTTATAACATATTCAAAATATTCTTACACTAACCATCGTTACCAACCTAATCAAACTAGAGGACATATTACGCAAACAGTAAAACACAAATCGCATTAGAAGGGGTTGAGGGAGTGAACGCTTTAACCTACTACCACTGAATACTACGGAGTACAAGTTGAAGCGATGATATACATATGTATTTCAAAGATAATCTAGATTTAAAGACAAAGTAGTATAATTCGTATGACTTTCAATAAATACTGAAAGATTTTAGTGTATCAGATTGTAAAGAAATAAGTAGTGTCACGTCACTTTTGTGCCTAATAACTACTCGATTAATTAGAAAGTATATTCCTACATAAGAACAAAATATCTCATAGCTGACGTAGTTATGCATTACCAAAAAACACACATAATATAAATGTACAATTTTGTAAAAGAAAAAAAATGTTATTACTTAACAATAACACGTATCTTAGTTCTTTTATTTTAAACTTAAATTCCTATATATCCTATTCAAGTGTATTAAAATACGTTTTACAACCAAAGTGAATTTCTTAGAATGTGTTTTTATTTAATATAGGTATATCTTAAATGAATCCGCTGTAACTCAGTTCTTTGAGGCACTGGCCCAGTGGTCTCGTAAACATTTTACGAGAAGTAGCCGGCGGCGAAGATTACAATCATGCATTTATTTTATAATGTCATTATTCTTCCATCGCCCTGAGCTCTTGTGTCATTCTAAAACGAGGTAATGCCCGTTTTAGCACTAAACAAGTGTATAAAGACAGCAAGAAAAAAACTTTTACACACAACAATATCATTGCAACTTCACAGTAAAATTTACTTATGATACTTTTAACCTCGGTTAAAAACGGTTTCCGTCTGGGAATCCAAAGCAACATTTTATTGCAATAAATTTACACCGATCTTAATTTTCCATCGCACACCACGACTGTAAAGCTATAATGAAATATACTATAGTTTTCACTTCACGTGAAACAACCAATATTATTTCACCCAAAACATTTGTAACAACAAAATTAAAATAAATTCTTTTCAGTACAAAATTTACTAACAAAAAGAATATAATATATCATACACGTAATAACAAATTAGGAATAATAAAGATTCTATAAAACCATATTTATAATTTAGGTATAATGAAACATATTAATGACAAAAATAAACGTCACACTTGTCATTTGAGTCTTGAACCACAGACTAATAGCTCCCAGTGATATTTGATACGGTACTCAGATGCCAGCTATAAACTTTAACAGCCCAATGTCTCAAATTATACGACTTGTGAGCTATGTTTTAACATTACTTTAAAATGGCCGTATTTTCTCTTTTAGTTTATACCATACAACTATATGGTTTAGTTTTGTTTGATAGAATTTAATCAGTTGTGAGTAAATTCATATGAAAAAATAATAATTAGCTCTGTAATATCTTATTTTAAATAATAATAGCACGTAACGAAATTGAGATCATCAAAAATCGAGTTAAAAACAATAACTTTGACCTATAACCTCGAAAGTTCCGAAACTTGGCCATATCGATGAATAGAATAAATTGATTAAATATTATACTGGTACGACTGAGACATTTAAACATAGATTTAAAATGGCTTGGACATTTTCGAAATGATTTGATAATCTCACTCCATTGGACTTCTATGAACATTAACTGACGTTGAAATTAAAAAAACACGGCCTCGAATCGGTCAATCCCTAGCAAAGCAACAATACCAAAGATTGACATAAACAAGAAAGTTAGCTCTTAACATCGTTTTCATTGAGTTTGTCAAACAAAAGAAATAAATGTTGAACATGACTTAAAATACGTAATAAATCATTTTTATTGTTTTTATTAAATACAAAAATAACAATAAGAGATACTAATAGCGATTACTTCACGAGATAAATTTGAAATTGTTTTCGTTTCTGACATCATTACACGATATATGGATCTATATATTTGCCCATTATTGTATCATTTCAATAACTTAAAACCGAAGGAAGCTGTTATTAAATAAATAAGAATTCAATATTCAATATACACGTCTTTTCCACCTCATGTTTCCCATAAATAAACGTAATATATCCTATTATTAAATATTTCGGACACAATATAATCATTTATTACAAGACTAGTTTTTGCCCGCGACTTCGTCCGCGTTAATTTCGTCATTAGTAATATAGGTATAGCTGAACGGGCAAACTCTATTCCGTCTTCAATAACCCGGTATTGGTATTTATTAAATTTACTACTTCAATCGAACAGAATGATTGACATATTAGTTAGTTGTCAAGTCTAATGTCAAAAAATCGTTTGTATGGGAAATAGAAAAGGGCTGTTTTTAGGGGTTTTCCGGTAATTTTTCCAATTTTTCTCACCTTTCAAACCTTTCCTGGAATTCCAGGAGTATTTCAAGACTAAAATTAGCCAAATCGGTTCAGCCGTTCTCGAGTTTTAGCGAGACTAAGGAACAGCAATCCATTTTTATATATATAGAAGATACGTTAATTATTCCCATATAAACAGAATTAAGATCTTACGACAGTATTAACTATAACGTGACTAAGGAAAGTAACTTAAATATACAGTACAAATTTGTACACTTAATTACATAGAGATTGACGTAGGAATCGATAAAAAATAACGATTGTCTATTCCTATTCTCGTAAAAGTCGGAAATATATGCCTGTGCAAAAAAAGAAATACAATTAGTATACAACTATAAAGGAATATATTAATATAGATGTACAAGCTAAAGTCTAAACCTAAGCCCTAAACCCTAGCTGAACCTAGTCACGTAATTTCATTGATCTTGTCTACAATTCACAAGGGATATTCAGTCACCTACGTGGTCTGGAAGGTAATGTTCATTGCTTTGTCATGTCATGAACTGCTTAATATGATGAAAAATTATTAACACAATTTATCTAAATAATAGTTAATAAGATTACGACGATAAAATTTATAAACAATTTAAATTTAAGCATCTGTAAATTGTACAAAAAAAAACAGATAATTAAACTGTCATAAAGAATGACATACGTATTGAAAACTGTCAAATAATTTTCAATCTTTAAATCGTTAGGCGATTTAAAAACCGTAATGCATGTATCGTTAAATCATAAGTCGAGAAAAACAGGAAATAGCGAATCATTCAGGGTGGCCGGAAGTGGCGTGGAAACGCCGCGAGACCGAACTACAGATTCAATTATAATTCTCATTGCTCACAGACCGTCACAAAAGAGAAGCTTAACATTTTCTACAATTAATTCTGCTAAGATTTTTAAGCATCCAAATATTATGTCATATTATATTAAATTATTATGTAAAATTTTTCAACTTCAAGATTTGAATGTATAAACCCTTAAAAAGATTACACTATAAATATATAATATGTAACTTATAGTCACTTTTAAGATGGTGTAACATAACAGAAATTCAAATATATAGTGGAAGCCTCTAACATGATATACATAATATAGTCATACAACGAACGAGGAAATGAAAGGCCATAAACAAAAATTAAATTAATTAATAAAGCCAATAAATAAATGGTACTTCGAATTTCAATAAATATAAAAAATAGCGGACAAAACATACTGTCTAACTCGTGGCTTCTATTTTTATTGACATGGATAAATTTAAAAAAAATAAGAAGAAAACGAAAATACTATTTTTTTATATTAAATATAGCATCGGAAACATATATCTACCTCTTTGATGTTAAGTGATTTTTAATATCTTAAATGTGTACTAAAATATTTATATTTGTTTTTATTAATCTATGGTAAAAACAAATGACCGTCAAAAGTTTGACGATAAATTGCTTTGAAGGGAAGTCGTGGCTGAGTAATGAGAAGGGAGTTTTTGTTTAAGAAAAATTCGGATGACTGAGATGCTTCGGTATTCGTTTGACTGGTTTTTAACTAAAATTTAATATATAATGATAGTTTTCATAGTATACCTACATGTAAGTTTACTATAAAAATCATTACTTTTGTTTACTCGCTTACAAACTACTACTAAGAAATTTAAATAAAAATAGTTATTTAACCTTATACTTTAAAAATAGGTCTATATAATTAAAAATAATAAATTTGCAAGTATGTTTTAACACGCTTAACAAAGTTATTTGCATTCAATAGTTTTTATGTCAGGTACATAAAATTTAATCGTTAAACATATTAAGAATTTAAAACTGAAGGTCCAAATATATTGAAAAACATTAATTAATGTAGTAATAATTTTTTTTCTAGTTACTTGCTTCATATTCTTTAATATTATCCGTACCAAACAGGCTAAGTAACATGGTCATAACACAAATGACAAAAGATTAGTACATTAGTTATTCGTGAATGCGATGGTTCTGATGCTGAAGATCACAACACCAACTTTTGTAACCAAAATTAGTATATTTATAAGAGCCAAAGAAAAAAATAGCATTTCAAATAATCAAAATAAAATAAAATAAATGTTTATAATTACTTAAAAATTTTATCTGTAGTTCTTTTTAGTCTATGCTTACTTAAAACATTTGACATATATGTGATTGAATACTTGAGTTGTTGTCATTTTTATTTACTCTTGCGAATATCAGAACCATTACTAATATAATTAAATATTTGCTATAAAATTAATTTAATACAAATTCTTAGCCATGAGTTGTTTCGACAATATGAGTATGCCGAGCTGTGTTTGGTTCGAAAGTGGAGAAAAACGTAACATTCTTGCGTCAATATTCGCTGGTTTACTGGTTTGTACATTGATGAATCACTTGTCTTTCCCAATCTTATTACCCTCAAAATATCCTTTGTGCATAAAACATACCCTAAAAGAAACATTCATTGTATAGAATCAATATAAAAAGATGGCTACTTTGTTACGACTTTACTGAAACTATTATTAGTTTCCTACTTATTTTCATTACATACTAAATCAATAATTCTTTATATATTCTCTTTGTTGATAAAGATCAGTACTAAGTAAATATAATGAAAGATGTAGTAGGAGACTAACCTTTTTGTTTTCTCATGTACCCATCGCAAAAAAAAATTACACAATTTTCTAATGCTATTAATTTAAATTCACATTATATAATGATCTTCTTACAATAATATAATAGTAGAAAGAAATTTTTTACCAAAATATATATTCTTGGTTAACAATGCAATGAAAAAGTTATAGAAAGTGCTAGAATCTAGTATGAATAATGGCATTTTGTTATTTCCAGTTCTTCACTGGTTGGTGGTTTATTATTGATGCTGCCTCAGTGTACAAAGGTGAACTCCCTGGTGCAGCTCATGTTTGCGGAGTTATGGCGACGCTTTCACTTCTCATGGTGAACTCGGTGTCTAATGCACAGGTATAGCTACTAGGTTTCTTTTCAAATTTGGTTAGGTAGAGAGAGGAGCTTGGGCGATGGAGGTGAGCGTTTAACACATTAGATAGGGACCCCATAAACCTACACCCAGGTTGCAAGTCCCAGACACTGTTGAAGCTCCTCTCCCTGCAATGACGGACCTTACAACCGCACAGTGAATACATTTAATGCTGAGAGGTTTCATCTCTAGAAATCTTAAGTAGATTATTTTTATCTCACTACTTAAATAGTAAAATCCATTTTCTAAGTTAATTTACTCAATTAGAGTGTTTATTTATATATTATAATTTAACTTGTTGGTGACTGTGACTTTGTCTAAGAATTCAGAGAGAAGTGTATAAAGAATATATATAGGGAATAACCAGCAACAACTTCTATGATCTGTGTTACATGACTTCACATATGACATCTTTAAAAAACATGGGATTTCTGGGATAAACTATATTCTTTATCATATGCTGATGTCCCAGTTATATTACTTTAAAGTTAATTAAGATCTGTGAGTTCCTTTTTATATGAAAAAACAACAAACATCAATTCTATATGTATGAAAGAAAAAACAACAAAACAAGATCTTTAAAATCTTGAGCGTTTATATTTTTTTGAAGTAATTACTACAAAAGTACTATATTTATAAAATTATAAATGGTTTATAATTTTGTTTTTTCTGACTGGTTTGTAATATTATAAGAAGCCTTCAATATCCAATTTCAGAGTATGTAGATAGTAATATTCAAATTGAGCCATAAACTTGGACCATTTAAAATTTATGTGATAAAAAATTATTAAATGTTAATCTGTTCATTTTCATTCAAATATGACAAAGAAATTGGTGACAATGTTCCCAAAGCGGCTATATATTTTACTACATTATAATATATTCTATTTCAAACAGTTTAATTTTTATTTAACATTTAATTTCCCAGGTCCGTGGTGAAACGTACACCGGTGGGTGTATGGGTCCCCGTGGAGCGAGGTTGTGGTTGTTCCTTGGCTTTGTGGTCGGTTTTGCTTCATTGATAGCTGCCTGTTGGATACTGTTTGCTAACTATGTTAATGCTGGTTCGTATATTTTGACTATTATATGAGCTTTTAACTAGGGAATGCAATCTCGAGGCGAGATCACAAATTCGAGAGCTCGCGAGACTAGAAATGTCAATCTCGCGACATCTCGAGAATTTCGAGATCTCGGCTGAAATTTTAAAAAATATTGTTTTTCTTAAGTAAGTAAAACGATTAAAAGTTTTAACTCGATGTATCATTATGTTGAACTTCCATAATGTATAGAGAACCATAGACAAGTATGAATTTTTTTATCGTGCAAGAGCTAATCTTCAATCATGATAAATATGGTATCATGGTTTTGTTATGGAGAACCATAGACATATGTTAATGATGGTTAGTATATTTGATATGAGCAAATGTTTTGGAATATCCATAATGTATAGAGAACCATAGACAAGAATGTTTTTTGTGTCTTGCAAGAGCAAACATTCACTCATAATAGATATGGTCTCATTGTTTTGTTATTGAGAACCATAGACAAATATGAAATTTTTTTTCGCAGAAAATATATTATTAATCTTTGTTAAAGAGAACCATTGACAATTTTATTTTTGTTAAACAAAATATTGATTATTAATGTAATATCTATATTTACAGGTAGCAACAAACACACATGGCCCGGTGTTAGTCTGTTTATGCAAAATGCATTCATATTTGCTGGATCTTTAGTATTTAAATTTGGTCGCACCGAAGATGTCTGGGGTTGATTATTTATTTGTTTTTAAGATCAGAATTGCTTAAATAATTCATTAATAATGTAACTATAAACATTTTGTATGAGATATTTATAATAATTATATGTTATAGAGTATTATAACATAATTTCTCACATAATATAATTACCTTCTTATAAATCTATGATTATTTTTGCCCTTTTAATCATAAAGTAATTTGTAGACTATATATATATAAATTGTTTCCATTCTTTTCATTAAATAAAACCATTTTCATTTATTTATTTGTTATATTTACATATAAGATACAGTACATCTAAAACTATTGTGTGATTTCATTAAATAAAATGCAAATTCATATGTTTTAGACATCACGATTTCTAAAACAGCAAAATAAATATAATTGGATTAATAAATAACTATTGCTTTGGTATAAATTTATACTAGAAAGTAATAATAATAAAAAAATTATTGAGCACGAGTATTTCATTTGAACCTTATTAGCAGTAAGTACTGAATAAAATTACTTAAGGTGATTTTTAGTAGTTATTTGGGGGATTATCTCCCGCTACGCAAGTTCTGCCGCCTTGTCCGTCGGGCAAACAAAGTTTGTAGGGATCGCAATTCCCATTCCTGACTTGACATACGTTATTTAATGCTGGGCATTGGTCCGGGGCAACAGAAACACCATATAACCTCCTTGAAGCAGTGGCTATCGGAACGTGGCCTCTCAGTTGTGTTAAATTGTCTATGGACTCGATTTTTAATCTGTGACATAAAATATAGATTATATTATAATAAAATATCAACGCGATCGATTTCCTTGCCATCAAATATATGTTTTTCAATGATTAGCACATATTATGACTACTTAAACTGTACGAAAGTGTTATATTAGGTACTTATACAACATTACAATTCTGTATATCGTACTAATATTATAATTGCGAAAGTTTGTGAGTGTGTGTCTGTATGTTTGTTACTTCTTCACGCTCAAACGGCTAATCCGTTTTTGATAAAATTTTGTATACAGGAAGCTGACGTCCAGGAATGACACATAGGCTACTTTACATCCCGAAAATCCGCAACTAACACCGCGGGGCGCAGCTAGTAAATCTCTAAAGATAGATTTATATATAAAATGCCTGGAAACCTGAAAGTATACTTACGTTTTCCAATCGGTCCAGTAGTAAGTGTCTCCACTGATGGCCAAACCAAATGGATATGAGCAGTTCACGGCTATGGTCTCCTTTTCCAAAGTATCTATACCTACGCACTTAATGCTGGCGAACCCAGCGTCGGAGTAACACAGTCTATCTCTGGACCAATCTATGGCCAATGAGTTTGGTAGTTTTACATCTGATTGGTCCAAAAAGATACCCCTCTGAGAACCATCCATGCTCGCCCACTCTATCTTTGGGCCACCGCGATTCCAGTCGCTCCAAAATATTTTACTGAAAATTCAATGATTTTAATGAAAAAATATAATGCTACTTTTAATACAGTCCGATTTAAAATGTTCAAAACCAAATAAAATTTTATTTACCCTTTCCCTGGATGAACGGCTATACCTCTCGGGTTATGTATACCTTCTCTTTGGAACAAGACTTTCCTTATTTTAGTGTCAATGTTGGCTACCTCAATAGTCAACTTCTTCGAGTCCGTCCAAAACACGTTTCTAGCTGACCAGTCCACTGACAAACCTTCTGGCGATTGGACATCTATAATGCATAGTAAGAAGTAAAAAAAAAGTTCTGCTTAATTCCTAACGTAATTTAAAGAAATATATATTGATTTATGTACCATTAGATAGGAATGACTCGAATCCAGAACCATCATAGGACGCTCGTTTGATTGTAGCACCGCTGACGTCTCCCCAATAAATTTTTCCAGTCAAACAGTCTACGTCTATTCCAACAGCTATCTGAATTGCACCGCTATTTATTGGAGCTGCAAACTCTCTAGGTGTCACTCTGAATGGAACACGATAAACAGAAGCTCCATCGCTGGCGACTAAGAAGTTTCCAGCCTGACGTGGATTGAGCTGGCAATGAGTTCCATTGCCGTTATAACCAGTATTACACTCGCACTCATACCCATCGCTCGTCTTTAAACACGAAGCGTGATCATCACATAAATATATATTATATTTGCAATTCATTTCTGGAGTACAGGAATAACCGTCGCCAGTAAAACCCTCGCGACAGATACACTGATAAGAAATTTCTGTTGGTGTACAAATGGCATTCGGGTCGCAATCGTTGGCTACATCACATGTTTTTCCTTTGGGAACACATTTAGAAATACCATCACCTTCATACCCGTCATCACAGTAACAATAACTAATATCGATTGCGGCATCGTATAAACACGAAGCGTGTTCTGAACATACAGCGCCATTACAGAGCTGTCCATCTTTAATACACGCATCGCTCTCATCTTTGATATATCCTTCTATGCACTGACAAACATATTCATTGGTGCTCGCATCAGGTCTACATTCAGCGTTGTATTCACAGTCTGAATTGTTTGTGCAGCTAAAGTTCGGACGGCATATATAACCATCCCCGTGATAACCAGCATCGCATACACATATGAGCTGGCCGCCCACTGTATCAATACAATGTGCCGCAGGACCACAGGAACAACTGGGACCTGTTCTTTCAATACACTCATACGCGTCACCTTCATAGCCTTCCGGACAAACGCAATGTCCTAAACCAGAATCATCTGAAGAGTAGTAGTAGCTAAACGCGCATACCGCATTCGGTGGACAATCAGCATCCGCAGAGCACCTCACTAAAAACCACATTATAATAAGTATTATGATGAAATAAATTTAAATTAAATATATTAAATTCAGTTTTAAACTTACTAGAATTTGAGTTGTATTTGTTATCATCCAAATCATTGTCCTGGTCATTGTTATCAAGACGACACAGGTCGTTATTTCTATCGTCTTTGAAACTTGAATATCCTGGAGGACAAATGCATTCGTAAAGATCACAATTAGGTAAAACATAGGTTTCATTGTATTCACTTTCAGGTATTAATGTGGTAGTCGACTGTGTAGAAGCAACAGACACTGATGTAGTCTCTGGCTCGTATGGTTCAGTTGTCATTTCTTCCACACAAGATTGCCCGTCACCGATAAAACCGGGATTGCAATAACATCTTTCGGTATTACTCTCATCTGAACGTCGACATTGAGCATTTGGAGAGCAGTTAATGCACTCATTATAGTATGCAGTCCAACATCTTTCCCCGTTTCCAGTAAATCCTGGATTACACACACAGACTGGGCCTTCAACAGGATTTTCTGTGCACTGAGCATGCTGGTCACAGACTTTGTTGCTACAATTAGAAATGCGTCTACAGCTTTGTCCATCCCCTTCGTAGCCCTGTCGGCATATACATTGATAGTCGCCGTCGTGATTATAACAGTCAGCGTTACTGTCACAGTTGTGTGTTCCGGCTTCACATTCATTAATATCAATACAATTTTCATTATTATGCATAAAACCAGATTGACATACGCATACAAAGGAATCACCCTGTACAACACATGTACTATGGGGACCACAAGAATTTCTGCCCTCCGCACAAGGATCTTCAATATTTGACTGAATTTTATTCGTTGTTCCATAACGGACAATATTTCCTCTTGTTTCGTATCCTAAATAATTTTTTATAACTTTTAACGTAAGCGGCTTATTTCCGTCTTCAGATGGTGGAGCAAACTTGCATGGACTATATATAAACGTCTGCGAGACTCTCTGTTCATATTTCTGTCCTGTTATTTTGTTCATGAATATCCGTGTAGATTCACTTTGAATGAGACCTGGTTCGACAATAGTGTATTGCTCATCGTATTCAGAAACTTCTAGTCTGGATCCTGTAGGTACATTAGGGATTTTACCGCGTACATCAGTGTCTAAAGTTATTTGGTCAAACACGTCATGTCCAACGTATTCTTGATAAATTGTCACCCTGTCACCCGTTTCAGGGAAGTAAATATGTGCGGTGTGATTGAAAAGACCACCAGTCAATTGATAACCATTTTGGGCTTCGCCTAAAGGCTTGGCAAAAAGCCAACCCACGACACTTCCCAGTACACTAAGAAGTTGCAAACTGCTACCTAAAGACGGCGGTGTCTGAGATAAAGCTGTGTATGATCTGCCATCAGCTAAAACCACATAAGCTTGAATATCAACATCATTTAAATTTTGATTGTTAATAACACCATTCATTTTTCCATGTACACGTAGCGGCACATCATCTTTGATGCACGATTTTCCATTTCCATAAAAACCTTCATTACATTGACAACAAATACCGGCTTGATAATCAACACATCTCGCTTGCAAGTGGCATACACTTGGACCACTTTGGGCACAAGTTTTAGATTCTTCTTCAACTTCAGCCTCATATTGGTCATACTGATCTGGAACAGCTATGGTGCCCTCTAATGGGATATTTCCTACGCGATAGACGTATCTCCCAGGGTCATGAATGTTTGACCAACTGTAAAATAGAAGACCAATAATTTTATGTTAATCATTATCACCTATAACAATATTATGCAGGTCATAATAAATTCTCAGCTAAGCTAATTACTTTGTTGTATAATAGCTTTTCAGTTCTTATAAATGAAACAAATACTTACGAAACGACATTTCTGATCTGGTGGCTGCCAGAACCTCTAAGAGTAAACACACGTCCATCTTCCGCGACAAAACCAGCTTGTGCTTTAGCATCAGGTAGACCTCCATCCTTTGTTTCTCTTTGAATCCATTGAATTTCTCTCTCAGGATACAAAAGCTCGACGAACGTCTCCGTGCCATTACTTATGATAGCTATTTGGAAGCTATTCTTGCGATTCTGCCACTGGGAACCCGAGTAAGTAACATCAATCCAAGTAGCAATAAACACACTCGTCGGTTTGAAGTCATAATACTCGTGGAAGTTATTCTGAACGCTCTCCTCAGCTTTTAATAGCACGTGGGATTCGTTCGTTTCTCTATAATACACCGTGCCAACATCTGTAGTATTAATATTGGTGTAAAAAGCAGCTATCGATGGATATGGCAGAGGGAACTCAGCGTTCAGAAACGTCGGTATGTCGGCTCTGAACGAAAGAACTCCGAAGTTATTGACCTGAAATATAAGATGAACTAATCTTTATAAAATATATTATATGTTTTACATTTCTCGATACATATAGGTCTCAATCCTAAAGCCAATGCGATGTTTCTTGGCAAAATTGTTACACCGACAAGTCAAAAATTAGCTCAATTTTTTAAAGATATTATGATTACAGTGAGTTACGTAAGGAATATATACATTATTAAATTTATCTTCGTGATTAGGTAGGCATACATATCCATACAAGCGTTGTTTGTGACCCGTTCATGATAACAATATCGTGCTTAGGCACAACCGAGGTCTTGACTCTTGTATGATAACAAAAGTTACGAAAAAAAAATTAACTACTTAAGAAAAGTTTTTATTACATAGTTGACATTTATATAGTAAGTATAGGTAATTAGCGCTTAATTCATATTATTACTTCTCTATAACTATTTAGATCTCAGGAAGATTATTAACATATTCTTTAGATAATAAAGAATAGCTAGACTTGTATGTAAAAAATTATAGACCTATGTATTTAGTTGCAAGCTTATATGAAAGCAATAATATACCTACGGAATTTTATGTGGAAATATCAATATCATTTTCGATAAAAACAAACTTGTAATTATAATTAGTACCAAAATTTAAACAGTGTTCAAATATGATTTGATAATTGAATTGTAGTGAGATAAAAGTTTGCCAAAAAAAATTGCAATAATTGCATTTGCCGACGGCTGCGGTGATAACGATTGCAGCCAACGGAAGTGCAAGTGGGTGTAGGATACAATGGTCAATGACTTAGACACATAATCCCCGAATATGAACTACTAATTTTGGGATACTTCATTCAAATACCGTTAAAAAAAAATTAAAGTTTTTTTACTCATTACACAGAAAAATATATAGCTGCATATTTAAAAATTACGTTAGTTTTACAAATAATAATAACCGATACTTTATTTAATTAAATTTATGCTTTGTTAGGCTAAAAAATATATATAATAATCAAATTTTTTGTTGACACAATCGACGCTGAATTATCGAAAAGATGAAACTTTTAAAAAAACTTAATTATTATTCATAAGCAGCTACATTAATGAACGGCTAAGCTAAATGTATTCAATAATTCAAATATAAGGGTCCGTTTTATTATAATTAGACAAAAATAATGTGATGTTGATTAGGGACAATGTCTAATATTGTTTTAAAATGGTCATTGCCCTAATTGTATGTTAAACATTTTAATTCATTAGAACGGCACACGTGTAACTTATGTACTCAAGAATCTATTTTAAAGACATCCTCAGGCAAATTTATGCTAAAAATGCATAGAATATTAATAAGTAATTGATCTAAAATACTATAAATAGTATTAAAATAATAAATATAATAAGGTAAGGTATTAATAGGTTTATAAACGAAATAATATTTAAAAATAAAATTGGCACCAATCATCAAATTTTCTGTATGCATTAAACACTGCTCATTATTTACAGTCGACGTAAAATAACGTCTGTTGCGAATATTTTTGCACTTCTTTAAATACACTCACAAAAATAAAAGTAATCATCCGCAATGCATACTTTGTCTTTAAATAAATGCTGCTTTAAAGAATCAGTTTTAAAACTACGTATCGTTTATAAATATACTTTTTCAAATTATTTTATTTACTTTGGTTGATTGTAAAGTTAAAAAAGAATATTTCTTGTATATATTCTATAAGCAGTGAAAATATTTCATAATTAAAAATAGAATAACAAAGTATATTGAATTTTTATTAATATCAAACCAGAACGTAAATCCTTGAAGTTATATTGTTTATATATTCAGCACGTCAGAAAGTACACGAAAGCGCCTATCATTAAATCAGTTAAATTCAATGAGCCTGAAAATTACAGTTAATTTTACGACAACTCCAATACAAACAAAAAAAAATTTTATATTTAAACGAAAATTACCAAATGAGACAATGGAAACAAACATACTTTTGGTGAAATTACAACCCATTAAAATGGTTTTTTCTTCCAAAAAATTAAGTAAATATAACTTACGAAAATCGACTCGTAGGTCTGGCCATAAAACACGATTGGAACGGTCAGGGGTACTTCAGGGGAAGAGACCTCAGCTCCCCGGGGTAACCGTTGGTCCAATCCATGGCCGTGGGGGTAAAATTGATCCCGGGTGATTGCGCACGCGCACGCCGCAAGGCACACGACCAACGCAGCTGACCACATCGCAGCACAAAGTTAGACTAACAGCTAATGGTATGATTTTCGGGGAAGGGACAATGTTTGCGCTACTTATCACATAGATACCTTATTGTTTCTGTGATTTAAATCAGAAATATAATGATTATTCCAACATCTATTCATTAGATTTCCAAAAAAATTAAACTTTTGTATTCATTTTATAAAAGTTTTGTTTCGTTACAAATTCTGTTATGTGTCTGTTATTAATTTCCTTGATAACTAATTGAAAAATGAATGCTATACACCTAGAAAAATAAAATTTTATACAATAATGCATATATTTACGTAATAAACGAAAGCAAAATTCATTTATATAAATGTATCTAACACACATAATTTTATTTAATCTCAGGAAACTTTCTAGATTACTGTTAGAACAAAAAATTAAAGAAAAAGGGTACAAATTAGTGTTGTTTGTTATTTATTAGTACTTAATATAAATGCATTCCATTGAAATTACATTAATTTTAGTGTAGTCTTTTTTATTTTGTACACTATTACTGTTATTTAATTTTGATTATTCATAGTTAGATAAAATTTCAAACAGAGCATTTCATACCTATTTGTATCAAAATATTAAAAAACATCTATTATAATGAAATTGAAAACATTCGTAATTCTTAAATATGAAATAAAATATAATAAAAACCTATAAAAACATAAGTGAAACATATAAAAATTCTGTTGATTTTTAAATTAAACCTTTCTTTAAATAGAATCTTCATTAAAATTTAGTAGCTTCAGAAACCGAGGCTATAAAAAATATTGTCGAAATTGACATAAAGATTTAAGTTCCATTCCGGAATTAGTGTTCAGAAGTACTGAAGGGCTGTAAAACTTCAAAAGATCGTAAACCCTACAATAAGGAACAGTGTTCTGGAAGTTACGACAGTTTTGTTAAATCTGGGTTAACTTCTTGTGGCTAGTTATGTGCTAACTGATTAAATTTGATCATAAAACACATATAACTGTAAATTTACATAATATGTTTGTATACCCGGCCAGGGATTAATAAATATTTCCTATTCTTGATAATAAAGCCCAAGCCTAACAAAATACTTGTTTTATAAGTGTAATTTTTATTAAAAATTGCAATGTGTTAAGAATCCAAAGAAAGATTTCAGAGAAATAGGATTAATCAAGATATATATTAGCAATTCTCATAATTCTGCGGTTAGGAAACGAGCAATTGAAAATCTATCAAAATTCCTATTCTCCTTTTGTTTCAAAACCATTAAGCATAAAATTAATTTTTATAAAATATTTCATATTCGTTATGATAATTTTGTGTATAAGTATATTTTCTGATTTAACTTTTCCCTAGAATTATATTTTTCGACGATATTATTTTCTGTCCCGATTGAAATTTCATGTACCTACCTAATACCGTACTTATTTCGAAAAACATAGATGAGTGTCAACAAATTAACATCTCATTTCCTATATCTATAGTTGTAGAAGAATTGAATCATCATAATTTTGTAATCACCACGTTACCAAGATATTTTTTAACGAAAAAAGTAAAAATTCAGGAAGTAAAAAAAATTTACTAAATTGAAATTGATTTAAAAATAACCCTGCTTCATTGAGTGATAAAAACCGTACGTAATTTTAAATTAACTATGGTAAAAGAAGTTTGTTCTCATATATTAATGAATTTTCATTGATTCACTCATTTAATATGATGTGGGTTGGATATTGAGAATATCTTCTATAAATGCCCATTTTTTTATATCTGAAAGCATATAAGGCTTATCGTAGTATATATTGTGTAATGTGAGATTGTAATTCTAACATTTAATAGTTGAAATAATATTAACTAAACAGTATAACGAAATAACTCTTAATTTTCTGTGCTTTTTCCTCTTGTAAGCTCAGTTTTTTTATGTTAATATCCAGATATGTCCTGACTATATTCACTATTACTATATGAATATATTCACTATTCATAATAGGTGTAATTAAATAGTTATTTAATAAGATTTCACAAATTTTTAAAAGCATCAAATACGAAAAATTGTCCCCTTTAAATGCCAATTATCCTTTATGAAAATAATACTGGAATTGCTTTTCTAGATAAATTTGATAATCTCTTATCATACTTAGAATCAAAATTGTCACCTATTTTGTCGTAAATAAAAGTCTTCTGTATTGAGCACGTATTGAAAATGTATTCAATGAATAATGAATTTAAAAATACCAACCAAATTAGATTAAATTACAAAACTAACAATGATTACCATCTTCTTTGACAATCTACAACGTCGTCAGTGGAATGTACAAATGGCGAAGTCATTGGCCTTTTTGATAAATTTTCAAGTGCAAAAATATCTTCCTATAAATTTATTAAATTCAAATGTCGCCGAACCCGTCTTTAAGCGACCCTGGCATCTTGCCCTCGTGATAAAACTTTCAATTGTAGATAAATCATTCAAACTCAAATATCATACATTTTTATTAAATATAAACATTTAAATATGAAATACAAAGGACTTTATAAGAATAAATAAAATAAACAATATGTTTAATTCAATGTGGAAATAAAATGTTTACAGAACCTATATTACACTAATACTTTTGAAATAACATAGTAGCTGATGCAAGTTATATTGAAGCTGGAAAAAAATGATTGTAACAATACTTTCTTTTAGCTTTACATCAAGAAGTTGATCCAATAACTTTATTTTTTATTTCTGAATCATAATAAACTATAAGCATGAAAAAAAATAAGTTGTCTTTTTGTACAAAATAAAACTACAAATATTATGTGACAAAATTTAAACTCACAAATAGAAATAGGGCAAAGAAACTTTACCTATAACAAATTAATAATTAAAAAAAAAGTGATTATTTTATATTCTAATAATAAATTTAATTCGTTTTTTTTTTGTTCCTTGAATTTTCGAAAAACTTAACATATTTTGGCACACAGGAAGGTTTTTTATTGCTTTTCGAGGGACAGAAATTTTATGAAATTTGTGAAATGGGATATATTAACAAAATTAATATTTTTTTTCCTTAGAAGTTAGACCTTTGCATTTATTGAAGCACTAGTAAAGTTGAGGATTGTAGCTTTATAAAAAACCGCCACGTCATTTGAGAAACCTTTTAAAAGACGAAAAACAAAATCATTACACAAATTAACATAACACAAAATGAGATTCCATTTTCGTAAACTAAAAAAGAGTAATTTAAAAAGGTAAAAATGCCTTTGAATTTATTTATAAATGTATCTGTATTTTTACATAATAACGCACTAGGTTTTGATTAAAGACATTAAAACTATGAATTCAATACACGAAAATCCCTACTAATATTAGGTATACATGCGAAAGTACGCTTTCACGCCTAAACCACTGAACTGATTTTAATGAAAATTGGTACAGAGATAGAGTTGACCTTGAGAAAGAACATAGGATAGTTTTTATCCCAGACTTTTGAAAGGTTCTCTTGGAAACGCGATATAACCGAACACCACACGGGCGAAGCAATTCCGTTATTCAATGCATTGCAATAGTATTATAGTTGAAATGACATTTTTTATTGTCTCACTGCACACTGTAGATATTTCGTGATGCTTACGCATTATTATTATCGCCGTTACTTAATTTTCTATATAATTATGTTTTTCATATTGAGCGTAACATTTTGTAATTGATAATGTGATGTAAGTAGCAATGTGTCGGTGTGTTTATCAATATAAATAGGACAGTAGGTTAGGACGAAGCATCATACACTACAATATTTTATAGCACAGAAGTAGCTACTAGATTACTACAATGGAATTCAAACTACGTTTTACAATCTGCCTACAAATACTACTTATTAATGTAAGTGATTTTATCTTATTATTATTATACTATTTGTTTGAAATGTCTTAATATTTTAACATTGTTAGAGTGCGAAAACATGATTTAAATAATTATTACAATTCACAAATCGCCTCAAATATTTGCTTAACAAACAAATCGTGTTATTGTTTACTCTCTAATTGCCTACTTACCTAATTAATCGTAATAATATATCCTTGTTTTAGTACGCGTATTCTCAATGCATCGGTCAACCAATAATTCAAGAGACGACTGGTGTTTTTACCAGTCCATTGAAAGTTCAGAACATGCCGTTACCAGCGCCCAGTTTTAGCGTTTTTTCTGATGGATTGGTTGTCGAAGGTATCGTTGGAGTGACTGGTGTTTTGCCTTTCCTGGGTACAGTCAGTATGGAAGGTGCATTACCCTCAAATGGATATGGTACGGTTAGATACAATACTGGGACTGAAAATGTTGGTATTCTTGCTGAAATACCAACTTACCAACAACGCTATACTCTATAGAATGTAATTTTTTTCTTAAATAGACTGTTTGGTTGAATAAATGTGTATCTAATGTTTAATTGGTTTAAATATTTATTATATCTCATAATTCTGAACTTTTTGTACAGACTAAATAAAGGTAAATTTATAAAACAAAAGAATTAATTCGTAAATGAAACGGAGACCAAATAAAATACAATAAAATAAATTCCGAAAACGAAGGATGACGATTAGTTTGCTCTTACTATTTATAAGTTAAACTGTAAAATCCATTTCATCTTATTTCTATTTCATTACGTCTATAATTTCGCATTTTTTTTACTTATTATATAAATCTAAAACTTTTAATATAATATAAGAATCGTTTATAATATTTTAAGTTAGAAATTCGTTGGGATAGTACATATGGATGAGAGATTTTTGGTTGATGTTTCTTTAACTGCAAAAAAGTGTACCTTAGAAATCAATTCCCATCGAATTAGATTAAGTAGATTAGTAGATTAAGTAGATTAAGTTGATTGATATTGTTACCAGTTTTGGATCTTAGTTTTTAACTTGTTTTAGCTTAGTTCATATTTTGCTTTGCTTATTTTAGTTTTATACTTTAGTCTGTATCTTAGTGAAAATAAAAAAATAAACAATGTTGTATACACCTGAGGGCTGATCATACTGATTCATACTTGGTGCATGTAATTCTTGTGTTAGCTATTATGATAAGCCGATGGAGTATCTGTTTATAAATAAATAAATAAATAAATAAAAAAGTAAGATATTATAATTCTTCAAAGATTTTTGTGTAGTTCTCGCCGAATTATGCCTATAAATGGCGTGACAATCGTTTCGTGCTTGAAGTTCCATGACACATACATAGATGTCACTACGAGTTTATTACCATCTCTCAATTCCTAAGTTCATATTAGGACGAAATCGCGTACAAAAACTAATACTATATTAGTAATTGATTTATAATATATACTCGTATTTTTTCAGCATATTAGACGAACATATATAAACCTCAAATAACATCGCTACAAAACGCATCACTTTTATATTTTTAGTTTTATATAATCTCAGTGACTCTTAAAACATTACAACAATTATAACAATGCACAATTTTCTTAAATGAGATGACCCTTTTACACAAAGGTGAAAAGTATTAAAATAAACTCCAATATACATCCAGACATGTATACATAAGGCCATATTTATCGCATTGCAACAAACATTCGGTTACTATTCGCTATTCTACCTATTCGGCTGCTTTTATTATATTCGGCCGAATACTAGAAGTCAACATTTTATTTTGCTGAATACAGAATACTTATTAGGTATATATGATTTGTAATAGAAAGTTGATTGGTAAAATGAAAACAATCGATTCATTGCAACTTTTCAATTGTCTTATAATCATTTATGTAGTCATTGGTACATAAAAAAGGTACACAATCATGTACGGTATTTAAAAAAATAACAATTTTTCTGAGCATTCGATGTATTTCCATCAACAATATTTAGAATGGGAACGTATTGGTGCAAAAAGACTATTTTATCTGCATTTTTAGGAAGTACCTACTTCACTTCCTTTTTAGCTATATAAACTTTTATGACTAAGTCTTTTTTAAGAACATTAGAACAAACAAGGACTAAATATTTACGTCTGTACAAGTTTTGGCGCTAAAATTTCACCGAATACTTTTGCTTAATATTCAACTATTCGTTCAGAGAGCTCAGGAAATATTCGGTATACTGCCAAATATTAATATATTTACTATTCTTTGCAAGCCTAATAAAATGCAAATACATACAATTACAAAGCCGTCATACATACAATTCTCATTTCTTCAACTCCACCGAAGTTGAGCAATAAAATAGGGATATAAATGAAACAACACAAATAAATTTAATTATTTAATTTCATAGTACAGATATAGAAAATTAGCTGAATTTAATTCAGTAAAATTTGTGTCAATAGGAGGCAAGAAAATAGATAATATTTGAGTATTTAATATTGATAAGTTTATAAATCACAGTCAGGCGTAGCAGTAGCCGTCGTTCTGGTAACACCACTCCGGCTCCAGAGACTCTGCCTTGATACCTTTACGGACGAGACGTTCACTGGAATAATTAAATACATATTATATTAAATACAGTTATATAAATCGGCGCTATCAGTTTTAATGACGGATGCAACATGAAAATAACTTGAGCCTGTCAACAATTATTATTATTATAAAAACCACATTAATATTCATGATTATTGATATAGTAAAATCAAATATACGACTGTATGAAAGGAGAATATAACTATGTTTGAATTTTTGTATAAATATGAAGTCTGGACGCAGGACGGCAGAGTTCAGTGAGTGCGAACCATTGAATAATGTTATTATAAAGAACCTTTGAGAAATACAGGAACATTTAGAACAATTGAATTTTGATTTTAAAATATCATGGAACATACTAGAAGAAGTGACATTAGTGACGTCAGCGAGGCAGGCGTCTCTCTCTTTAAAAACAACGAATTTCTAGTAAATCCGATATAATATTGAAATTTTAATATCTGTAAGTGAAACTAATATTTTTAGATTATTATATTTATTTTATTATTTTAAACTACATACTAACGACGCTTAAAGACGGGAGTATGTTTTTAAAATAATAAAATAACTCGCAGTAAACCAAAAATATTAGTTTCATTTAAATGAGTATTCGTGAAAATATTAGACCTCATTATTAATATCTGTATTCTATGATCCTTCTATGAAATAACATTCCTGACACCAACTAAACTGTGGTTAAATTATGTTTAAAATTAATTGAACATCGTCACAATCCATATAAAATGGTAATAATATCATGACAACAAAAAAAATAACGATGTGGTTCCTAGCACAATAACTGGGAACTCAAGTACAGAAAAAAAGCACCAGAAAACTGTTATATAGAAAACATAGCCTCAAATCTTTAATAGTAATAATAATAATATTTATTTGCTCTGAATGTAGGTACAGAATATAGGTGTACAAATAGATTTTAATATAAATTCCAGGTACATTCTACCACAAGACATGCAAATATTAGGTCCAAATTATAAATTAAAATTAACTATTCAATTAAAATTACAAATAAGATTAACCATGCAATTATAATCATAAATTCATATTGAGTGTTTTACAGATTAAAATTAACTATTCAATAAAATAACAAAGTCAAATTAACAACTTTTCGTCACCGGTAGTTCAACCGCTTAGAACTTTTCCAGCTGATTGTCCAAATCTTCTTGATCAGCTGCATTTTTCTGCCTAAGACCTGTTCCAGGTACTCACCGTACGTTCAACATCCGTCTTTCTGCCTCCCTCCAGGTTGTGGCAGGCTCTGCCCACAGTCTCTCAGCGAGGGCAGCTGCTCGCGGCCATAAACGACTGTCTAAGGTCGCTGAGTCAGACTGTTCCGACCATAAAGCTGCTTCACCACCTACGATAATAACATTAATTAGAAAATACTCTAAATAATTTGATAGCAGCAGTACAGAAATTTTGTCCAATTAGGAGTTATAAATATTAACCTATTTTTAAATTATTTGGTAGCAGCAGTCCTATTTCTTATTGGGGGTTATAAATATAAGCATTTAATGAATAAACTATAAAAGAGTATCTTAATGTAAAGAGTAAAGATTAATCTTTCTTTCGAATGAAAATATGGTAGTTGAGATTAGATTTGGATGCTAATGCGTCATATATTGTCTGTTATTAGACTGTTTGAGTGAAAATTGTAGAAAATATTAATATAATTAATAAATATAACTAAGATTGAGCTATCGCAAAGTTTAAGTCAATTCTTTATAATCAATACAAAATTGAAAATTATACTAATATTGATATTAATAGATTTAGATGAATAATATTAATAATTTTAACTTTACAAACTTTTATATAATAATTTTGAATCAAAACTCATTTTTATTTATAAGCAAATTCTCATTTTATCTAAGTTTTTTGTCATTAACCTTCCTTAAAACGTTTGTTTATCATACCTAGTATTTGATCTTGGTGGTTTTGCGCCATCAGCTTCGGACTATTTTCATATACTTTCTGCCATCCGATGTACGGAGAGCACCAGTTGTTGCCTAGAATTACAAAAAATAATCAATTAATAATTACCATAAATATAATGTGTGACTGAAAAAGGCCCCCACGTCTACCGTAAAAAGGACGAAATGCAAGCAATGATTTCACTAACGAACAATCATTTTAATAATAAAGTTTTATCACTCGTTCTTGCTGTTTAATTATGTAACCTGCCATCGCTTGGCATAAGTAACTGAAAATAATAAGAAAAGATTTGACAAATTTCAAGACAAAATGGCCGCCAGAGGCCGTCAAAATATACCTTCAGTTATTGGGAAACCTTTTATTACTTTAAAACCGATACTAAAAATATATAAGTAGATTTTTTTACCAGTTCCAACCCAAGCACCGAACCCGCAGTCGAAATAGAGAGCGTCGTAGTTGGACATGATCAGACGATAGCCCTTCTGCAGGAGACCAGATATTTGAGGATCTTCCCCAGTAGTCCATACCTGAAATATAATAGAGGAATGAGATAAAAAATTATATAGTTACAAGCTATAACAATATACATGAAAATCCCTACTAAAATTATAAATGCGAAAGCAACTCAATCTGTCTGTCTGTTACGCTTTCACGCCTAAACCACTGAACTGATTTTAATGAAATTTGGTACAGAGATAGAGTAGACTTTGAGAAAGAACATAGGATAGTTTTTATCCCAGACTTTTGAAAGGTTCTCTTGGTAACGCGATGTAACCGAACTCCACGCGGGCGAAGCTGCGGGTGGAAAGCTGGTATTACATAAATTAGTTTGACGCAAAATGGTCAATTTATAAACAATTAAATACATTTGTTTATACTCACTTGAATAATATAATCGTCTTTGTTTAAGAACTTGTCGACGTGCCTGTAATCAGTGAGTGTACTGGTCCACAGAATCAATGGAATCCTTTTACCAAATGCCTGAAAATTTATGTATAAAATATTAACATTTTAGTGATTTTATAAGTAATTAATTGCTCGAATATGTTAGAACATCTCGTTAGGATATAAAGACAAAAATGTATATTTAGGTGGTAGTCTAGCTGTGGTCAGTTACTACAGCTCGAACATGGGCTTGCTCGACCGGGGAAGTACCACCCTCTTACAGAAGATCGGTGTGAAGTAGTCATTAATGGCTGCGTTTCGTTCGGTGAGTGAGAGAGCTGGTTGCCTTTTTCCCTACTCCCTCCCTTTCCTTATATTTCCCTATTCCCACCCCTCCCTTTTCCTCGACCCCTTTCCTTTTTTATGGATATCCATATACGACCGTCACTACTGCCCATTAAGTAGGCTGTTTGCTCGTTTGCCATAAAAAAATAGTCACCTTATAGACCCTGTCTTGGGCTTTATTCTGGAAATAGTTCCACAGCTGTAAGTAGCTGGCTTTCTCCAGTCCCCAGCGGTTTTCTTCCATGAACTCTTGAACCTGGCGCGATGAGTTCCAACAACGCTCAGATACTTCGTCTCCACCCATGTGGAATAAGTCCGATGGAAATACCTCTGGAAAAACGATTATTCGGTAATCATTTGTGCTATACGACTATTAGTTAGGATCTGGTAGCGACGATTGATACTTCTGGAATTATTACACCTGGAAATTGCGAGTGGATAAGTAGAAAAAAAATGAAGTCAGACCCTGGCTAAAGCTGGGATATTGCCAGAAAGAAGAATTAGAAGAAAAATAATAATTATACAAAAAGTCGATCATTGATAGAGTTGACGCAGAATGATAGAATATTAATATATATGTAGCGATAAACATGAGAAATTATGGGTTTTTTTGGATGAATAATTCTCACCGGCCATATCAGTGTAAATGTCTTGTAACACATCGTACAACTCTTCCTTGGTAGGGTTTAACTGACCGCAAGGAGGCTCCACACAGTAAGACGACCAAGGTTCAGCCTGCGACACATAGATGGCGTTTTAAATAAACTTTCTTATTCCATTGAAATATTATTTAACTTTTTTAGATAACTTAGTTAGATAACTAAAAGAAAAAATCAATAGATAACAGTCAATACTTTAGATGTAGGTCAATGAACTGATTAGATAAAATAGCGCGGTTTATACTTAGTTTCTATATACACGTATTTGTAAGTACACAAAGGTTTTTTTGAAGGTTCAACATATTGTTATCTTATTATTGATACTTATAAATTTTTTGACTTATTATTTTATGTGTTAAGTTTCTTCAAATTAATCAAATCGTGATAAGTCCTTTCTTTCTTTATTTAATTTTTCTTAAATGAAACAATTTACATATATACTAAAAATATTAACTTCAACTTTATAAATAAAAACATGGAATTTTTCAGTTGAATTTGGATTTGCGCCCGATTTCGCCGATTATCACATCATCTTAAACATCTGATCGATGACGTCATACCGTTTATAATTTTATCTGTAACTTGGCTTTGTCCCTCCCTGTGAATATGCCAAAGGCCCATGTCCAACAGCGATATAAATTATAAGAAATATGGCTAAATATCATCACTACTAAAAGACTTATGCCTGTTAGGACTAACATCAATTCATTTTTGGAACGTATTACAAAGGCAGCTCTAGAAGGTTCGTTTCAAATTTCGTTAGCTAGAGACAGGTACTTGGACGATGGAAATAGCGTTTAACGCGCGTTAGATAGGGGCCCTTAAACCTACACCTGAGTCGCAAGTCCCAGTCACTGTTGAAGCTTCTCTCACTACAACTATGGACCAAACCACCCGCATATTAAATCTATTGAATGCTAAATTTCTTCTCACCTTGAAGCAGACAGTAAGGTCTGTTTCCTGCCAGCCTTCACCGACGTGTGCTGGAGCATCAAACTCAGGTAACACACGAACTCCGCGGACACGAGCGAACTCAACCACGTCACGGATCATCTCCTCAGTGTAGATCTGATTATAATGGTTTATAATTAGAATAACATAAAAGATAAGTACACTCTTTGTAAATATAACCAAGATATATGCAAATAGAAATAGTGTGATTTAAATGACAATCACTAGATTTGGAGAAATAGCCAATGAGAATGATGAATATATTTATTTATTTGACTCTTTATTGCACACCAAATGTACAAAAAAAAATTAAAAATATATTCTTTAACAAAAATACATTGGTGGAGCAAAAGGCGGTCTTATGGCTTATAAGCCATTTCTTCCAGACAACCTTTGGGTTAAAAGAATAATGTGTGCGGAAGACGGCAATATGGTGGTACAATAATATATTCTTTGTAAGAACTCGATTTGAATAAACCTTTTCTTTTAAAATCCATAAATCGTCTTTGATTGCTTGATGAAAAAAAAAAAAATTATAACATTAAAAATTAAAACAAAAAAATAATAAAATAATTTAAATATTATTTCATTACCATTAAAGGATATTCCATGAATAGAATTTAATAGATACTGTATAGATATATCGGAAATAGATAAATACATATATAGTTATAGTCAAACTTTAAGTTTGTTACAAATAAATATATAGCAATCCTTTCAAAAACTTACTTTACTGGGACTGTACGCGCCATATTTAGTGAGTTCAGGTCGTCTCTTGGATACGAAGGGGAAACTCTGGCTGTCTGTGATGTGCCAGTGGAAAGTGTTCAGTTTCACACTGGACATGGCCTCTGTACAAATATACATGACATTAATAAAACATACAAATAAAAAGAAAAATATTTTTATTACTAACATCGTCAGACAAATGCATTAAAGTAAAAATGAATTTTGATTTGTAATTAAAACAAAACAATTATTTAATTATTATTAAGTCCTAATATACAGGGTGACTGGTGAATTACTATCGATACTTGAGGACGTGATATTTGACGATCATATATGACAAAATAAAAATTAATATAACATAAATATTAATAAACTTCTAAGTAAAGTTAACCAAAAGTTGTGAAATTAATTACGCATCGTGTGAACACCCTACAGATTAGGTATACACACACACTCACACACATGCGGCGGGGGCGTGGTTTTGTATCAGCACGCCGCCGCACGCATCCACACTTGGAACACTTGGAACGTGTCAACATTTTATTTATTTATACGGAAATTTTGTCAAAAATTAAGTACCTATTTTTTTACATAATTCGAATGAGAATCATGTACCGAGTATGCTCCTTAAATATTGATAGTAATTCACCAGTCACCCTGTATAGTAAAAATCTATATATACACAAGAAAGTTTTGTTAGTTACACTATTTATAACTCAAGAACGGCTGTAGGGATATGGTTGGAAATTGATTGGGAAGTAGCTTAGAAACAGGAGACGGACATAAGATATTTAATGCTGTTCGATCAAAAAAAACAGAAAACTTAACTAATTTCAATATCTGGTTATTCACGACCTTTGGGGCGGAATAGAGTCCGCCCGGTCAGCTTATTTTAATTAAATAAATAACTTAATTAAATAAATTAACGCGAACGAAGTCGCGGGCAAAAACTAGTATATGTTATATATATATAAGAAAAAGTAGTAACCGATAGTCTCTTTGATGGAATCGATAGAGAAATAGTTCCTCGCGGTGTCCAATAACACTCCTCTGTAAGGGTACACTGGTTTATCATCGATAGTGACGTCACGAACCATCTGGAAGAAACTCTCATTACTAAACAAACAAAGATATAGACTTATATTATTATAGAAATATTTTCATACAAATTCAGTGAACGTAAGACTACTTAATAACAATCCTAAAAGGGACGCATCCAAATATAATTACGACGAGCATTTTAAAAAGGTTTGACTTTTAAATTTAGAACGAACTTATCAAAAAAAAAACTTTCATATTGACAAAATATTAACTTCATTACAAATGAAACCCTAAAACAATATAAAAAGGAATAACAATAAAAACAAAATATATTAGATAAAGAAACAAATAATTATCTACTTATAAAAATAACATTGTTTTGAATAGTAATTATAAATAGCTGTTACAAATAAACGACATAATTTATTTGAATATTTAAAAAACGAACTCCTTTCAAATGACAACAATGTCAGGCGTTGTGTTATGCAAATATAATGTCAACGATCTTTAAACCGGATCCGCCAGGACTTGATCTCATCTAAGGAGTTTTTTTATGATTTGTTACTATTGAAGATGAGAGAACTATATTTAAAATTTAAAAAAAAGGATTCTTTATAACGATGTAGGTTTTACTTTGGCATTATAATTTAAACTTGTTTTCATTTACTTTCATTACGTTTCATTTTGATGCCAAGTCAAGTAATATTTATAATGTGTTATTATATGTATAAGTACCTTAAGAGAAAAAAAATATTTGAATCCATAAAACACTATATGTTTATGAAAAAAATGTGTTTAGTTTTTATTGTACTCAAAGACACATATCTAACGAAACTATGCCAATGTATGTCATTAATTGAATCATTGTAACAACAGTCATAGGCAATAAACATTTTTTTAATCAAAGATAAAGCTAACAAACTATAAAAACATAGCAACGAGTAAATAAATAAACATAAATACAATATGCATTATTTTCTAATTCAGTGATCGAATGAAGGGCCAATAAAACCTGATATATTAAATTCATAACGACAGTCATATGTTTTAATTTAAATATCATTCACCTTTCTATATTAAGACAATATTAGAGGTGACAAACGCTATCAAGGACACTAAAGGTCGAGTATCAAATATAGATAATAAACTTTATTAAGAACTGAAAAAATACTTTAAAACATCTAAATATATTATTAGTATAAGTTATTCGTTCCAAATATAAAAAAATCTATCCAGACAGTTTCATAAAACTCATCAAAATCATCGATTGGTATACATCTAAACATATTAACAGTATTTATTCGTTCCAAATTCAAAAAACTCTATCCAGCCAGTTTTATAAAACTCATCAAAATCATCAAAGTATCTAAACATATTAATAGTATTAATTTGTTCCAAATTCAAAAAACTATCCAGCCAGCTTTACAAAACTCATCATAATCATCTTCCTTTATATATCTATTTATAGTATTTATTCGATCCAAATTCAAAAAACTCTATCAGGGGTTTCATAAAACTCATCGTAATCATCAATCGGTATAAAATAATGTGTCAAAACTCACCAACAAATGATTTTTGATCTCATCGTGGACGATGAGCTGCGACAGTGTCTCTAGACCGTGTCTGATGCCGAAGAAGTTATTACCAACGATAGTTGCGTTAATACGATCATTTGACTCCGGCGAAACTCTCAAAGTATAGCTCTCGTCGAAATCTATCGAGAAATCTAAACACGAAAAAATAATATATTAAGAATAACTTTAAACACAAATCCAATAACTGTTATACAGGGTGACTGGTGAATTACTATCGATATTTGAGGACGTGATATTTGACGATCATATATGACAAAATAAAAATTAATATAACATAAATATTAATAAACTTCTAAGTAAAGTTAACCAAAAGCTATGTAATTAATTACGCATCGTGTGAACACCCTACAGATTAGGTATACACACACACACTCGCGCGCGGCGGCGTGTTGTTGTATCAGCACGCCGCCGCACGCGTCCACACTTGGAACACTTGGAACGTGTACAAACTTTATTTATTTATACGGAAATTTGGTCAAAAATTAAGTACCTATTTTTTTTACATAATTCGAATGAGAATCATGTACCGAGTATGCTCCTTAAATATTGATAGTAATTCACCAGTCACCCTGTATAATATTGAGCTGAAATTCGCAGGTTTTAATCCTTTTTGGATATTAAATTTACCATTAAACATCTTTATTGAACCAATACAAGTAAATTGTTAAAATACTAAAGCACTATTTCATCGTATGAGCAATTTTTTTGGGGGTAGACAAAAAAATGAATTTTTTTTTTGGAAATCAAAATAATATGTTAAATCTTACCTGTAATATCAGGGTTTTCGTTAACTAGATACACATACACGGATTTCCCTGTCGCTTTAGGTGTTATTCCCGATGGTACCGCGAGTGACACTAACTTCTTGAAACGCTGAAATATATATTAAACTTAAAACGCATATCAAATAAACTAATATAGAACTTGACAACAATTAAAAATACTATATCTTTATAGAATTTAATTAAAATATATTAGAGAAAAACGCGAAAGGCGAGATTCTTTTCATCACCAATATCTAGGTCCTTATTCCGTGCTTAATATGGTCTTTTGAAAATACTTGAAAGTAAAGTAATTCCTTAACGAATACTTCAAAGTAAAGTAATTCCTCCTCACCTGACCAGCAGCGTTCATCAGATTATCAGATCTTCCACGTTTCTCGATTTGTAATTCTATATTATTTATATTTATCTTGGACAGGAATCGACCTAAATCGGTGTAACCTGTCGGTCTTGGCCACAGGAGACCTAGAAAATTTTATAACAGGTAAATGTAAGCTAAAAAAGTAAATAATATAAAATCTTATGCCGGCCATACACGCTACGGTCTACCGGAGAGGTCCACCTGTGTCGGTAGACCGAAATATGTCTGGGAATAGACCTGTGCATTTTTGAACGCTACCATTATTTGATCTGCGCAGGTTACCTCTTCGGTATACCATAGCGTATTGCCGGCATAAGAAGTAAGTAGTACTAGGTTTTTACTAGGTAGGTTCTCGTTTTAGGTGTTTTTTCTTAATTACCGTATTCATTGCAGAACATCTTGCACGCCTCGAGCGACAAAGCCTGTCCTGAACTACCCGGTTCGTGTTTCATCTTCTTGCACGCTCCCTCCTCGCAGGACCACTTCCATGACGGATCCTCGGACCTCGCGCTGATAAACGAAAGAAATGACGTCATAAAAGAAATTACGTCATAAAATAAATGACGTCACAAAATTTGTACGTCACACGAGAAGGTATGGACAGAAAAAATCGTATAGAATTTATGGGAATCGAAAAGATTAGCTCGTGTTCATGTTATGAGTTGATTTTGTATGAAAATTCTTATAATTAAATAAAGAGCATATATATATGTATATAATATGAATCATTGACATACTTATATGAAATGTCGAAATCAATGTTCATACAATCAACAAAATTGTCTGCTTCATTAATAATTTGTGTTCGATATCCAATTAGTCGCAATGAGTATTAATCCGATTTAATGCGTTTACATTTTATATAATAAATAATTAATTTAATTAATTAAATCAACCATACTTATAAAATATAATTAAATACTAGTTGATAATCAACTGAACATGTTTAGGAAATGAGATCTAAGATTTTTACGAGTTTTATTCATTTAAATGAAACTAATATTTACGCGAAGTATGTCCGAAAAATATTAGTTTCATTTAAATGTTTAGGAAACTTTAGTAGTATTAATCTCAGTATTTGTCAATTTCGACGTCAGATTAAGGTTTCCGTAACTTTATTATCTTCAGTGATCCCCACACGATTGGATTTCGGCAGAACTAATGTCACTAATCCCATAATCTTGTAATTCATTCATTTTTATTCCTACATTTCGGTAAAGCACATATAAATACATTTAGATTTAGTATTTTTTTGAATAAAACAGATTTACAAACATAGTGAGATCGAAAAATTTCGCGAGTTTCATTAATTTAAATGAAACTAATATTTTTCGGATATACTATGTACGCGAATTTATTTTTGTAAAAATCTACATACTCCAGACGCGACGTAACTTTACTTACTTTAACTTTTTAGCAACTCATATATTTTTCAGCAACTGTGATTATTTCGTCTGCCCGTGATCACGGTTACTGAAAAGTAGCCGAAACTTCGGGAGTATATAGTTTATTACAAAAAAAAGTCGCGTAGTATATACGAAAAATATGAGTTTCATTTAAAAGATTTACACTCAGATTTCATTATATGTACGTAGAATCTAAAATGTAATAATTATCATTAAATCAATAAATGAGAATTGCGTTTGTTTATCGATTGTTATTCATGACTTCTAACTATAAAGCTTATTGTAAATATTCTAGAAAGGAAACGTCATAATCAAAGGATGAGGATGACATATTGGAAAAAAAATACATTAATTACTTTAAATGTGAAATTTCATATTAAAAACCGCAAATAAAATAGGATGTTACACAGAAATAAAATTTAATACTTACCACTGCAGCGTAACCAGCAAACATATTATATTAAATAATAATTTTTGACGTGACATTTTTTATCTGTAACAAAGAAAAATTGAATCTGTAAGATAAATAAAATATCGAAAAATCATTCATAAATATACCAAAAATACGATACCACACTAGTAGTTATTATATTAAGTTGCATTAAAAAAAACATTTCGTTGAAATAAAATTAAATTTTCTATTCGAAGTACTCGATGATGTTTAAGATTTGAAAATATTATTTTCCGAAGAAACATCAAAGTACAACGGGAAAAAAACAGGGCGAGGGATTTAAAAGACAACGAATGAAAAATACGAGCACTAAATAGACTTAATTAATAATAATAGAAAACGCTGTCTCAATCAGATTAAATCGTTCCTATAATTGAATAGATATTGTATAGCTATAACGTATATAATATATTACTAATATTTAATTTAAAATCAAACAAGCAATTACATGCTTTTAGCATTATATTCTAGCTAATATGTAATAATATTTAAAGCAATTTTTCTTGATATTCATTCCTCTTTAAAAACAGGGACCATTCGCATACAAGAATTTCACATACAACTTACGTTGTTTTTAGTACGGTAAAAAAATGTGAAATAAGTTTTTTTTATAACCAATATGTATTACAGGTGTCGCGAAAGAATTATGGTTTACGACTATAATGCCAATGTGAGGTTAAACAATGCCTATAATTTAAAATATATTTTACATTTAAATATATAAAAAACTCAAAAAAAAGGTTATTAATAATAATGCTAACAATAAATTATATTTGTATATACACATATTATTAGCGACACACCCTCCACTAAGATATAAAGTAAAAAAAATACTTTAAATTTAACTGGAGTGTAAATAAGTAAATCGGAAGCCCTAAAGTACTTGATCTGAATATTTCCACCTGTCTAGGTCAAAATATTATAACTACAACTTCTCTTTATTTATTTATTTTCTATCCTATTATAAAATAGCATCGTATCATAAACGATAAATTAGTAATCAAACGTTAAAACAAACATTATAACGTGATAAAAACTATTATAATCCTTTTAAATTATTAATTTTATTGTATCAACATTAATTAAAATTTGATTGTTATAATAAGACGATAAATTAAAACTCATTACTTTCAATGTTTAAGGTGTGTTAAGAGGAAAACAGTCTTACAAAAATCTGTTCACGACGACTCGTCCGCATAATATATAATTGTGTATACTTAATATAACTCTGTGACAATATATTTTTCTGTTTATATCAATACAATTTATAGCCAATGATCACTATTTTTTAAACATAAAACGGTTTTCTAACATTTTATCGACGAAAGAGTAAAAACCAATAGAAGATTATAAAATTTTAGCAAAGAACTATGTATTTTTCTTCAATATACCAACAACATGATCTTAATCTAAATGACAATTCATCGTGATAAATGAAAAGTTTTATACAAAATTCAGATAAGATTATTGGTGGTAAAACCTAGCTGCGTACACTAACAATAATATTTACCCCCTAAAAAAATATGACATTGAAAAAACAATTACGAAAGTAATATCAAGAACAAATTAAAATAACGACATACCTGTTGTATTCCGCCAACGTCCACTAAGCGTCGCGTATCGCGATATAATGACGATAGGAAAATGCCAAACAAACAATATATTCACTTCAAGAAAACTTGTTTTTGATCCAAATTCACATTTTTGTAATTTTTGTTTGAAAGTTGCTAACGAGTTTATCCACCAAAATTAAAAAAGCTGTGTTATCTACTTCTAAAAATATCACTTTGAAATCTGGTATCAATCAAAAACATTAAAGACCTCAGAGACCTCTTATTTATTAATTTTAGATTTAGATCGTAGCTATTAACTATGATCAATGTAATCGCTTATTCAATTGTATGTCCGATTTTAAAAAGTACATCCAGCGCCTTAACCATTGTTTGAATATAAGTAATACAAATAATTGACAACTTAACGCCTTCAGACTGATAATAATTGTTGTGGATAATTCATGCAACAATAATTAAGAGTATGTATGTATGATACATCGATACTTTCATTCGTAAGACATATTAATGTAGTTGTTGTAGGGTAGCTAATTTTATATTCTTTCAGATTTTAATCATGTGCAAGAATAAAAAGAAATATGTGTAACAAAACCGCCAATATAAACATGTTGGAAGTAATAATAAAAAAGGCAAAAGGTTTAGAAAAAAGAAAACATGTTTTGACATTCTATATTGACGTTTGTTTTGTCACATTGGTCACTTTTGTGGATTGTCACTTGTCACATTGGAGAGATTTGACGTTTATTGTGAGAGAAATCAATACGGAAGCAAACAATGCAAATACGAAACAAAATAAACTTATCATAAAAGTAAACTTACATTTGTATAGTAAAATATAGTCTCATAGATATGGATCCTGCACTTCTTAGAGAGCGGGAGGCGTTCAGGAAAAAGGCACTTGCAACGCCGAGGTACGTATATCATTACATACTTGCATACTCCGACTAACTATTCCCTTCACTTGCCATACGAATGCCAAATGACTTTCTATCCTCTCGCTCCCACTCGCAGGAATGAGTATACAACTTTCTACCTTTATATCGCTACGAGCATTATGAATCTAGTTGTATAGCATTTGATATCTGAATTAAAAGGTTTTGTTTTCAAGTAGTAAAGATAATCAATTGGTAATTAATAAGTATTTTTATCGACATGAAATACAAGTGTTTAGATTGTTTTGCAACACAATAACAACATTTGTGTTATGATTTTTCAGTGTTGAAAAGAAGAAAAGAGATGATTCCTTTAAAGATGATGGCAAAAAGAAATCAAAATCATCAAGCTCAGCAAATGCAGCCCCAAAACTGGATGCGACCAAGTAAGTGTTAGATTTTATCAAAAAAAATATTTTACCTATAATAAATAATCCAAAAAATCCTAATTAATGTTTATATCTTAGTTATAAGACGATGGCCGGTAGTTCTTCGTATCGTTTTGGTGTGTTGGCTCGCATCGTGAGACACATGAAGTCAAGACACCAAGAAGGTGATGATCATCCGCTGTCAATCGATGAAATCTTAGATGAAACAAATCAATTAGATGTTGGAAGCAAAATTAAACAAGTAAATAATACTAAATGATACATTTTAATATCAATTTATTTATCTTCCCTTCATAATATATTGTAATATAATTTTCGCATTACAGTGGCTTCAGACGGAAGCATTACAGAATAATCCTAAAATAGAGCACACATTTGATGGAAAATTTATATTTAAACCAGTTTATAAAATTAAAGATAAGAAATCATTGCTGAGGTAAGTCAGAAATAACTTTATTGAGGCTTTTTTGCAACTAACACTGTTTAAATGATTCAAAGATTGAATTTCTATATATCTTGTAGCAAAAATATTCTAAAGACCTTTAGAAAAAGATTTCTTGAAATAATAACTCTTCTTATTAAGAATCATGATATTCTAAAAATTTATTCCCAATATCTCTTACATAAAATTAAAGCACTGACATATAAATTACTATAATTTAATATTGATTTATAATTGTTGCAGATTACTGAAGCAACACGATTTAAAAGGTCTGGGAGGAATTTTTCTAGAAGACGTCCAAGAATCATTACCGCACTCTGAAAGAGCATTGAAAAGTTTAGCTCAAGAAATACTTTATATAACGAGATTCTCTGACAAAAAGAAAATATTGTTTTATAATGATAAAACGGCCACTTTAGATGTAAGTCACTTATTTAGATAAAATTATTACACAAAAAGAATAATATGTTAATTTGAGACCTTTGTATAGAAAAAGATTTTAACATCTCATGGGTAAAAAATGAATCCATAACCCACAGATATATTGACTTTAAAGGATAATTTTGTTTGTATGTAAGTAAATTTAAATTTAAAACTATCTGGGAAACAGGTCAACTAAATTAACACATCACATTAATCTTATTGTAATACCTACTAATACTATAAATGCGAGAGTAACTCAGTCTGTCTATCTGTCACGCTTTCACGCCTAAACCACTGAACTGATTTTAATGAAATTTGATACAGAGATTGAGTTGACCTTGAGAAAGAACATAGGATAGTTTTTATCCCAGACTTTTGAAAGGTTCTCTTGGAAACGAGATAAAACCGAACTCCACACGGGCGAAGCTGCGGGCGGAAAGCCAGTTGTAATATAAAAATTACTTGTGAATTCCCAAGTATCTCTATCATGAATTGAAAATATTTACCTACCATCAAGAACATTATGTGGCATTTTTAAAATACGAAAGATCAACACAAAATAACGAAACGAAAAAACTAAAAAGGTTTGCTAAGTTTATATCCAATTTTATTGGTTATAAGACAATTTAGATGAAAAAAAAATGGCGAGGCAATGTGACCGAAATAAGAGAAACAAAGTAACGATTTTTATAACGACTGATATCAAAACAGGACTTAATCTAATTACTATTCATTTTTATTATTTTAGTTGCTATGGACCTCTATGACATTTGAGTTATATATACAATTAGTAATTATTAAGTATTTAATTTATTACTAATTATGAAAACATTACCTTAAAAGTCAATATAGAAAATAGCCTAATAAGCCTATAACCTTAAAAGTTAATATAGAAAATATTTCAGCTTAAACTTTCTTCTGATCTGCTTCCAATGTAGATATGCGGAATTATCCAATGCTAGTTACACGGATTTGCACAATTGCGACATATTATATTTATAGGTTGAATTTTTTTATTTAATAAGTTACTATTATTATTGTATAGGTTGACGAAGAGTTTGTGAAATTATGGCGAGCTACGGCCGTAGATGCTATGGATGACGCTAAGATAGAGGAATACTTGGAAAAGCAAGGCATCAAGTCAATGCAGGATCACGGGCCAAGGAAACCTGTGGTGCCCAAACGTAAGAAAGTTACTCAGAAGAGAAGACAATTCAAGAAACCTAGAGACAATGAACATTTGGCTGACGTACTCGAAACGTATGAAGACAATACATTGACACAGAAAGGTGTCAGTATTAAATAAAATAAGTTTTCTACTTGTTCTTGTTTTATTGATAGAAGTTTTCTTTTACGTAATACAAATAATGTGTTATAAATGTGTTATGTTTAATGAAATGCGTGTTATATTGACGCGAACGAATGAAAAATAATATCTTCGTAAATGTAATGGAATATCTTTTGGTTGTGATTCCTTAACAACGCCATCTATTAAGTAGCTTTAATGTTGCTCTATTGATAGAACAATTTTAACTATATTTATTGTATTTTTTGGCTTAAACAACTAATAAAAAAAAACATTTTCTTAAAATGGTACCAATCTAAATTATATAATCAATTCACGGAACCAAAATTCAACCGTTTATATTATTTAGAAGAACATTTGTATTTAGGAATAAATGTTGTTTGAAGGTATAAGACTACTTTTCGATATAAAACATAGATGGCGCCTTTGGTAATAATATCAGCTGTTTCGACATCGATTTGTAATAAGTGAAAGTTATTGATTAATTTCAGTGTATATACTTATTTGAATTTGAATATTATGCTAAAATACTTTCTAATATTCGTAATTCCGGTCAGGACAGTACCATGACATTACCTATTTATATATACAGGTACTAAATTAGGAAAGGGATTTTGAAATTCATACAGCTATTATTTGATACAATTGAGTGATATTTATTCAATTTGTTGTAAAATATTTCTTATAATATTTTAAGAACTTTGCTGTTTAGAACTTTACTTCAATTATATCGAGTCTGTACATTTCCGTTTCTATCGCTTAGATAGTTAACAAGTAGCATTACATATATCATACATAATTTATTATTAAAAAAATTATATAATACTTGCAATAACAATTGCTTATGTAAATTCAAATCTTTTGTTATACACAAGGACCTGATCTTGTTTTTCGTGTGGTTTCAACGAAACTATATTTTGAGGCTTGAGCTGTGGATAGCTTTCTAACAAACTTCATATTGCTACAGATGTTATCAATAACGTTTACTTAAATGAAGATAATTGTGGGAAGAAAGTGACCAAGTAACCATTTAAAATATAAAAACAAAATAAGAAAGGATCTGGGATGGGTAGTGATGTGTATTGCTTTCATCTATAACAAAGTAGGTAGGTACGTATCGCGAATGTAACGGAATTCTAATTATTATAAATATCCACACAAGTTACAAACGTCGACCTTCTTTTTCGTTTTCAAGTTGAATGAATTTGCCAATAAATAAATAAAAAAAATAATCTGAATAAATTGAATCACTAAACTATTTTTCGCCAATGATTATACGAGATCAAAGAAGATAATTCGATATAAATCACCAATTTCATATAAAACATCTCGATGGTATCATAAACTGAAATCCCTTGCCACACGGAGTTTTTTGCTTTGAATTATTGTAATTACAATGTTATGGGTATGCTTGTTTATTTTTACAGCTCACATTTAGTTGAAAGCTACTTTATATATATTTATATAGGTACCATGGACATACAATTATGTATAAGGTGGAATTTTTGAGTTTAAATTATTTTTTCTATAAGATCCCAAGAAAGGCTCGCGGGTAGCAACATTTTACAAATGTAATATTATGACAGATAGTTTGACAAACAACACAGTATTTTGTTGTTTTCTATATTGAATGGGCCGGTAAACCAATAATTAGTTGTAAATTATATAATATAACAAACACTGAATCCCAATTTTCCCTATCTTGGGATGACCATGTCGCTAATATCTGTAACGGATTAAGTTTGCTTCAACAGGTATATTATTTACGGCAACTTTCGTAGAATTTATTATTAAGACTAGAATTCTAAACGTTTGAGTAAATGGAAAGAGTTTCAGAAATCCGTGCATAATAATAATGACTTCATGATTCGCTTATTAAACCTCAGTTAAGTTAAAGTAAGGTTTCTATTGAGTTTCCCTCCTTAATTCAGAATGGTGAGTTCGTAGATATGACCCTAGCTGCCGACGGTCACTTGGTTAAAGTACATCAAGTAATAATGGCACTCAGTAGTCCATTTCTTAAAGATCTCATCTCATCAGCTGAATGTCCACACCCTGTGATATTTTTAAATGTAAGTTGTATAATTATATTCTTTTACTCACTTGAATATCTAAGAACACATCTTATAATACATTTTTTTTGTTTTTTTTTAGAAAATTTCTCACACTACCCTATCAGCATTATTAGAATATATATACACCGGTGAAGTATTAGTAGCTATAGAGGACCTTAACGAGTTAATAGATGCCGCAAAAGAATTGCATATCAAAGGATTACAGGAAATGGTAAGGATTTTAAACACTATGTTTATTCAGCCTTATGATATAATAAAGAGTACACATTTCAGAATCTAGCGGATGCTTTAAGTGTGGATGAACGGAAAACAAATGAAGAGTATTTTACACAAATTGAATGTTTGGATGGAAATCAAGATATTTATTTAGAATTACCGAATCAAGAAAGCAACCAGCAAGCAATGGATGATGGAAGGTATAATAATAAATTATGTATGATATAAATAAAAAAATAATATTCATGGCACATTTTTAAGGATATATTGTTGGAAAAGTTGCAAATTTCTTATAAAAAATAAAATAAAGAATTAGACATTATTATAAAAATGTTCTAATTAATCTTCCAATTTCCGAAACGTTAATATATGTTATGGACTCCATATAATTTAAATTAGTTATTTGGCTCTTCTATGAATTTAATTTTTTAACTATTACATATTTACCAATGATACAAATGTCTATATAAAATGTCTGGTTAAAAAGTAAACATTTTCATCACATCTGCCCGTGATCATGGTTACTGTAAAGTAACAAGATGTTGGTAGTATGTAGTTTAAAATAATAAAATCACAATTTTACATCCAAGAATATTAGTTTTCTAATGTGGTTAATTACTGGGTTTGAAAATAAACATCTTTGTAGCTTTAAGTCGTATTTAATAATGTTAGAAGATTTTAACATAGCATAATGAAAGCTTGGGCCAACGGGTGGTCCACCATATTTGAATGTATACATGAGATGTTTTATAAAGGAGACTTTATACTAGACTTAATTCTATAATATAGCATACACACTATATTTATTACACTTCAGTTTTATTTAAATAAATACTTGCGAAGATCTTCAATATCATTAATGAGTAAAACATTTTGCCAAATATAGAACTTATAACGAAATATTTAAAAAAATCCATCTGTAACTAGTTTCAAAATTCTCTCTTGCCTATATAAATCAACCAAAAAGTATTCATAACTAAAATAAAAACTATTTCAGTTGCAGTTTTATAGTTAGTGATATAAGGAGTGTGAATGATGTTGATCAGTTGTATGTGGTACCCTTAGAAAAGAAAGAAGATCCGGAACTAATTGAGAAAATAAAAAAAGGACACATTATGGGTAATATTGATGCTGAGGCATGTGAGTAATGATGGTTTATTAACACTAAAACATAAATAATTTAACTATTTTAAGCAAAAAAATATTATTAAAAAAAATCTGTCAAAAGTATTTTTCAAGTAAAAATTATACATATAGCATTATATAGTCAAATAAAAAAGATAGTTATACTTGATTTACTACATAGATCTTTTATCATTTCAAGTACTTATGTACAAGTAGGTTAAAATTTTAAACTAATTAATATGACGTCTTAAAATTATGATTGTCATATATTTACAGGTTTAAAAACCCTGCAATACACAATATCAAACCAAGGATCGCTACAAATGATCCTAAACAGATTTATTTATTACTTGAAGCATAGTAACAGGGACAAATCAAGACAATGGCGATGTGTAGATTATTTAAACCATTCTAAATGTCCAGCCTATGTTGTCACCAAGGAGGATGTTGTTGTACAGAGGTTTTTATATATTTGATTTATTAAATAAAGCTTAGCCCATTAATATATGTTTAACAATGGAATTAAATCACTGCCAGATATTGTATAGTGTTGCCATTGTTCAAAATTAATTTTATATATTTATTTTGAAATATAATTTTTATTACTCCTGCGGGGAGTGTACAAATTTTCATTGGCACACGCGAATTAGCGAATTAAAATTTTTATTAAAAAAACTTATAAAAAATAAAAATTAACAAGAAATACTCCCATTATCGTTTTTCATCGACGTTTCGGCTACTTTTCAGCAACCGTGATCACGGGCAGACGAGTTGTGAGTCTCGTAAAATCTCGAAAGATCCGAAAATATTAGTATCACTTTTAGTATATGTACTATTATATACAGGGTGACTGGTGAATTACTATCGATACTTGAGGACGTGATATTTGACGATCATATATGACAAAATAAAAATTAATATAACATAAATATTAATAAACTTCTAAGTAAAGTTATCCAAAAGTTATGTAATTAATTACGCATCGTATGAACACCCTACAGATTAGGTATACTCACACACACACACACGCGCGTGCGGCGGCGTGGTGTTGTATCAGCACGCCGCCGCACGCGTCCACACTTGGAACACTTGGAACGAGTCCACACTTTATTTATTTATACGGAAATTTGGTCAAAAATTAAGTACCTATTTTTTTACATAATTCGAATGAGAATCATGTACCGAGTATTCTCCTTAAATATTGATAGTAATTCACCAGTCACCCTGTATATTTTGTTTAAGATGTGTTCAAAATAATGACACTTGCTGTTGTATGTACAGTACTTGAAAAAATTAAGGTTTGAATAACAAAATATGAATTCATTCAAAGTGTGATTTTTTAAAGCTGTAAATCGGTTTTCATTTTACCCTCCTTGACGTACCAAAGACATTGAAATATGATAATCTTTTAAATATTTATTTTATCCCTTAAGCTTATATGTTAATATAATGTTTTGTTTCAAAATTCTAAATAATGCTTTATTCACATAGGATATCTTCACACAACCACCCATTCCATGATCGCAAGATATTGAAGAAAGTCAAAACAGGCTCTGTGTTCTCAGCATTCAATGAAGCAGAGATTGAAGGAAACAATAGAAAAGCTTTGGAAGAGACTAATAGTGATTAAATATTAATATATACAAGGTCTTTTATTACATAATAGGAATAAATAAAATAATTATAGTAAAAAAATAAAATTTATTGTCCCCAATTTAACATTGAATAAAAATATGTAACAATGTAGAAAAATATTGCCTTGTATTATTTTATCGAGGCATAAAGATAGTCGATAGTATGTTTCTATAAAAACTTAAGACTAGATTAATATAACTATTACAATTCAAGGAATGTAGTGGAATGTAAAAAAATACATTAACGTAAAATAAACATCGAGTATTCCACAATATTATAATGATTATTTTAAAAACACTTAAAAATTATATTCGAGACGTATATAAATCATACAAAAATCTGTCATTTCGAAGCAAAAAATGCATAAATGGATAAGTACTAAAACATTATTATCAGGCGTCGATTACGTTTTTAACGAAATTCGGTAATGCAAATGCGGCTTTATGAATGTCAGAATTGTAATATTTCAAATCCATATCATTTAATTGTTCCCGCGTAAACTCTGTAACTGGTTTGTCAAATTTGACGTTTCCGTCTAACGAACCAATCACGAAGCCGATTGACCCAGACGGGTATGTAGGCACCGATGTTGTAGCGTATGCGGCAGCGGGGAATTGATTTTTGCAGAAGTTCAACGTATTTTTCACCAAATCCATATTATCCCAGTATGTGCCAGCTTGTGAGCAAACGATTCCGTTGGGTTTTAGAGCACTTTTCATCAATGCGAAGTAATTCTCTTGGAACAAACTGACAGCGGGTCCAATGGGGTCGCTACTATCTGTTATAATGACGTCGAATTCATGACTATGATTCTTCATGAATTCAAATCCATCCCCAACGTGTAATGTCAACTTTTTGCTGTCGAAACCTACAGCCATGAAGGGCAGGTACTTCTTGGAAACCTCGATCACCTTAGCGTCTATTTCGACCTAAAAAACAATTCAAATGTTTGACTTACACCCAGCTAAAAGGAAAATACAAAAAAATACGTGACTAGAGCAGGCATTTTATATTTTTATTGTTGATTGGATAAAATTAGAATCATCATTAAACAAAGTAAGTGTAAATATTGTACACACATTGTTAGCGAAGGGACCATTTTGATAATTTTAATTGACATTTGATAACATTTTTATCACCTCATTTTGTAATGTTCGTTTTCTTATCTTCATCAACTATTTACGTATTCAAATTTATCAAAGCTTTTGTATTATAATGAAATAAAATATTTATATTTCAATATAGACACATAATAGTTAAACTTCGAAGAGTAATTCATTTCACACATTGAGTATTTCTAGGCGTAGCCTCAATAAAATAAATGTAAGTCATTAATGGATATTTGCAAGTTTATGGGGGACAATATTTGAAAGAAATGATAGTGATTTTATTTATTAATTATCTTGTATTTATTCTGCAATAGGTTACAACCTGTAATTTGTAGAGTCTTATTATTTTTTCTCGTCCTATTATAAATCTATTTTAAGTAAAACTTCATATTGTCAAAAAAACCACGGTTAAAAATTGGAAACTTCAGCTTTTCGATAAAATTTCTGCTCACTATTTGTGAAAACTTTACTTCATAATTTGATAAACCGTAAACAGTTAAAAACCACGTCTTTTAGAAAATATACTTTCTGTTCAGTAACACAATCAGCATAGAATGTCAGGAGTTAACGAAATTTGATACGATTTATAAGAAACCTAACTGCATATATAATGCAGAGTAATAAAGATTGTAGAAAACATTTTTGTTTCCATTGTGTAACTAATTAATTCGATCTTAATATTTTTACGTATCAAAACAGATTTTATAGAAAAAAGGAACATAAAAATACCTATACGTAAAAGGAATATTCTAGAAACGAACTACTTTTCGTTAAATGATAAAATTAATAGATTTATTTAAATACATGTCGTACGTTGTAACGCAGGTAGGTTATGGCGCGAATTTACACGAAGTTTTACAAACATCAAATCGAAATTCGAACGCCATTATTCCATTTAACAAAATTGTGTGTATATTTTCCAGTTATTATTTAAAATTGTAATTCGTCACAATAAATAATAACATTGATATGAGCAAAATTTTCCATAGATTCAGTGTAAATAAATCCATAGTTTAATTAAAAGAAATTACTTCAAAAAGTTTTTCTTTGTTATAATCAAAATTAGTTAATTAATTTCCCTTAATGCTTTGTCCATATTTAATATGAAAGTTTAGTTAAAATGTTTCTTATCAACAAAATTTTCTTACCTCTTGTATCCATGAATGTCTGTACAAACATTTATTTATGTTAAAAATATTTTACTTAGCAATCATAATTAGTATTGAAACTATTTTAGTTTTATCTAAAACAGTTATTTTTCTTGTAAGCAGTCTTTGAGTACATTATCAGTATTTGTTAATTGATAACTAACAACATTTACTTATTGAAGCTTATCTCGGTCCAGTTAAACATAATTTTATAAAATAATATCACTAAATTCATAATTATGATAATTTTTTGGTAAGTATATAAAATTCTCATTCATAAATAATTAATATTATACTAAATGTCAAATTTCCCACCAAAATTTCTGTCATAAATTCTGTAATGACCATAGAATAAATTAGCATATTTTGTTTATTTAATATAAAACCTTTTTTATAACTTACTTGTACAATTTCTTTAACATTAGGATGTTTCGCAACATCCCTGGCAACTCCGCCATCCCCTCCACCTACTATCAGCACTTTTTCAGGGTTTTTATGACAGCACAACGGTAGGAAAGATATCATTTCCTGCAACCACAAACTAGATAAATCAATATTTACCACAAATTGATAAGCCATTTTCTCATATATACATAATGAAAATATTAATACATAAAATATGTATGATATATTAATATTATTCAGTCTTAAGTTAGACTTACTATTTAGAAATAGATCTAAATTTTAATCTATCATGATAGACGAAAATAATAGAATTATTTAATAAACTATTAACCTGGTATGAATATTCATCTTTCTGTGTACACTGTATAATGCCATCTAGTACAAGCACTCTTCCGAGGCTGGTTGTATCAAACACTTGTATTTCTTGGAACGGAGACCGTTCTTTGTGTAGCAACTTCTTAACCTCAAATGAGAAGGTGCTCCCTGGCCACATTTCACATGACTCGGAAAACCAATTCTCCTTTATAACATTCATTGTACCTGAATAAGATTGATATATTAAATTTACAATTATACAGACATGAATAGCACAAATTAAATTAATAATTTAAATTGATTGACGCTAACGGAATTCAAATTATTTTTAATAACACACTGTAAAATATATTTTCGTAAGAAGTTTTATTCCAATATATAAAGATATTTACCTTTTTTTCGATCAAAATATTATTTAATTTAATGTATAACTAACTGAATGATTCCCCGCCAAAACCACTCGTTCAACTAAAACAAGAATTTGGTGGTTGCCAAGTTATTATATAAATTGTACTCTGCGTTTACAGCGCATGCAACGATAATATAAAAACAAGTGTCGAAATCAGAAACTGGTATACAAGTTACAACGGTCAAAGACATTTGTATGACATTGCAACGCGACAGTGACAGTTTACGACTATACAGACAACAAAAACGAAAATATAATCTCATTTAAATGTTCAGGTTTTGATTTCTATAATAATTCTACTGTTTGTCTTGAAATAGATTGTAGCAAATAAGCATATACACACAATTATCGATTATATTTAATTTGATAAGGACATCATACTTTTGTTTTCGCTTATAACTCATTTATGAACGGTGTTGTGGTATTGATCCATTCCATCAGACAAGTTACCTGCGATAAGTTTTTAGAGTATTGATTTTCAGCTTTTCAGTTTCAGTTCGCGGATTGGTTTAGGTGAACTATAATTTGGCAGATTTAATATTTTGTTTGGGCATTTATGATTAATTATGAGTTCTTTTGGCATTTCGCCTGAAGAGTTTGTGTACGCAGCTAGGGATTTCGTAGATCTATCAGATAAGTACCGCGATAGCTGGACTCTCCATCAGAACGACAATGAGATTTTGCAAACTTACATACGTAAAGAAGAATTCATTAGTCACAGAGACGAGAACGACAAAGTATTTCTCTATAGGGCGGAATACGTAATCTTCTTTAATCTCAGCTACGGCGTGCCATCTTTTAGCTTCAACGTCTGGGATTGCTCTGGGAAGTTGCTTACTCTGGAAGAAGTTCGTCAGATTTCTCTAATAAAGTAAGCATAATACAACTCATGTTATAAATAATATATCACAACAAATTATTACAAATAATATATTACTCACAGAACTACAAAAGAGAACTTCTACTCGGTGGTATCCCAGCAAGAACATCCAGTGCTCTACAAGCCGTACTTCATTGTCCACCCGTGCAGAACTGCCACCATCCTCCAAGAGTTCAAGAGCAAGTCGAGGAACATCATTCTAACATTCCTCGGCCTCATCATCCCTCTGGTGCAATTAAACTTGCCGCTCGAGTTCGGTTTATGACGAAGGGCTTAAATGTCTCACAAGTCTACAATGAATGCAAAATCTCGAACATTCCGATCAATATTTAACAATCAAAATTTTAAAAACATCTAATATACAAATATTAAAAATGAATATCTGATTTTTAAACAACAAAAATGGAAATTTTGCAGAAATTGTAGCGAGATAGTGAAGTGAGACATTCCTTTTATAACTTTTTATATCTTCTGTTAATTTTTACATAATTCTTATATAATTTTTTTATATATTTAGTAAAACTCATTTTATTTTTGTTCACATGCATTTAAATATTACCTGTATATTGTGGAACTGGGTTTTAATTAGTTTCCTTATAGTTTAAACGGCCAACATATTATATCTTTTTATTTACATGTATTGGCCTTTAGAATATAAGAATATGTAATCTTCATTATATACATATAAATATGTGTCTGTTTTAAAACTTACATGTAGTATGTGTTATGTGGTAGATTAGACATAGTTTAAGAATTTTAATCCCAAAAAAAAATCAAGAGATTTTAAATCTGTCAGCCCTTTTAACATTAGGATAAGTGAGTATTAAATTTTATTTCTACCTTTTAACTGAATGTCTAGTAGGTATATTTGTAACCTGATTTTAAATACTCCTATATATGTTTAGGATAATTTTTATTGTAATTTAACAAAGTAAGGATGGGCATATAACTGTAGTTACCTTATATATTCTCTAGTCATTACTGTCACAAAATATAGTAAATAAAGTAAATCGTGTTTTATTTCAACACTATTATAATTTTATATAAAAGAAACATATGAAATTCACTTTTGTATTTTCCAAAAACTTAACAATTACCACAAGATAATAAGGAGTTTTATGAATAGAATTTTCCTTTGTGACTTACAACGAGGTTGCGTTAAACGTTTAACGCTGGGGGGGGGGGGGGGGGGGTAAAAAGAGGTAGCGAGAGTGATGCGTGGCGCTAGTACACATCCGAGCAAAAAATGTGACTTGTAAGTAATGTTAATAAAGTTTGTCTAAAAAACACAAAAAAATCCCTTAAAATGAATTTGTACCCCTTCATGATTTCTTTCCAACATAACGAAGTATGTTGGAAACACAATTAATATTTTTCATTCATAAATCTTCATACAAACTGGAAACATAAATGTGCTAGAATAAGTAATTTGAATAATTAGGAGGAAATTTTAACATATATTCTTAGACAATGAGATCTAAAACTTTCTCGAGTATTTATTTCAATAAAACTGATATTTGTCGGATATATTACGCGTGCTTTATTTTTGTAAAAAACTACATATTCCCGAGGTTTCGGTTACTTTTCAGTTTTCAGCAACCCTGATCACGGGTAGAAGATATGTGAATGTTTTAATTTCAATAGCCTCGCGGATTAACCTCGTTAGGTATCTTCACGAGCGAGGATATGTGGTTTATCAAACCGAATGTAGTGGCTTAGCCTGCTGCCTGTCCATGGGTCCTGCCAGTCACAATCAAGTTTCCATACACCCGCTTGTTGCAAAGGAATGCTACTCTTGATCGGTCTCAAGAATTGGCTCACTTTCTTGTGGGGTTTATAGATAGTCTTGATTGAAACCTTCTTTAAGATGTTTCCTATTCTGTCAGTAAGTCCCTTTACATATGGTAGTATCGCAAGTTGTCGCTCAACTGTGGATGGCTTCAAATGGTTCTTGCGATACTGGCGAGGCATGAGCAGTTTGTCGGTGGTGAGAACATGTGTTACATGCTGCAGTTCGGCCTCTAGGTAAACAGCATCACAAAGGTGTTGCCTTCTCTTTAACATAGCTAACTGGGTGAGGCGGTGGTGTGAGTTACCACTGAGATACCTATCCATAAGTGTAGGTTTCCTATAGGTAATCAGTATGTCCCAAAGTATTATCAGGATTCCTTACGACGAGTATATAAAGGAAAGCTAAAGAATATTTGCCTCTAATTCTACAGTAAACTGAATTAATAGAATTAAGGTGGTTCAGAAAAGCAGATGTTTTATTTTTGTTTAATATTGTGAAGGTGTCATCTACATGCCGTTTAAAAATTAAAGGTTTTATTGGAGGGGAGCAAAGGACTTGCACCTCGAACTCCTCCATATTGTTTGTTGTCAAACTTGATTTGTTGTGAGGATTGTAATACTGTTTAACCTCGCTAAATTATTAAAACTGTCTCTCCAGAATTAAGGCGGCCAACTTTCCGAAAACTGAATGCGGGACTTAACCTTTCAGGAATGGCGGGGGGGGGGGGGGTGTGTTAAGGATTGGGAATGTCATAAAAATCTTCGCAATGGCCCATATTAAATTTAAGTAAAAAGAAAGAAAACGAGATTAGCGCGGGCGCGCTACGCTTGTCCATATTATAGGTAATCTGTGTTCCTGCACTGTTGACCGTGGGCGCGTATGGGTGTTGTGTAGAAGTCTGGTAGAAAAATTAGGATGCGGGACATGCGGGACGCATACAACGTTTTGCGGGACTATTTAACTAATAATTTCAAAGCGGGATTTCGTCTAGTATTGCGGGACGGTCCCGCAGAATGCGGGACGGTTGGCCGCCTTATCCAGAATAGCTCCCTGGTACCTCAGTCATTTTAAGTAACTTACAGAAGTTTACAAATCTACAGAAATAAATATATTTTAAAGCTTTTGTCATCGTCATTCTATATTTAAATCTTTTTATTTAAAGACCAAGAAAATCCTTCATGCGGCTAAATAAATCTTATATATTTTCTTGTTTAGTAAAACAAAAAGCGAACCCAAAACTTTGATTAGCAACAAAAACAGTTTAACATTTGAAAAACTAGCTAAGTATATCAACAAGAATAAAATTTAAGTAGCAAAGAAATTACTAAATACAAGCTATTTATCGCAACTTAATTTAAAACCTGAATATAAATATTCTAGGCCAGAGAAAAACAACAGTAACGTATTATATTTAATTATAAAACATTATTATATGAAGGAACAAATATGTATTATTAAAAATATACACGTCAATAACGGTGAAAATTAAATGTTCCCATGTAAATAAAATATTGCAATAATCCTAGAAAACAGATATATTTAATAGATATTGAAGGCTATAAAACTATTTTTAACATTTTAAAATAAATAAAAAACATTTAAATAGTTTACTGTTAACCTTATATATCAATTCTCTACCAGTTAGTCTCCAGGAATATACTTATAAAAGAAAATTCCTTTGGGGGTAGGAACATACAATAAAATGTAACGTAAATTTAATAGTGCATACTTGACATATGTTACTTAAAAGATAATACACATTGTCACTCCAAAACGCTTTTAACATTTCAACAATCGTCAGCGTCTTAGCGAGTCACTCGTGTTTCAGAAGAGATTGTTTTATCAAACAAAATGTGTAAAGTACAAAAACCTCAAGGTCTAGGTTCACAATCAGGTACGTCGCACCATTAATTGATACCATATTGGCAAATGCTTTGATAAGATAACTGACAACATTTCAGTCGTTGGATTGTACTGTTTCGTGTGTGTATTTCGTGTAATATGTTCCTTTAAAAATGTGTTTATGATGAATTATTCTACCTCATTTGTCAAATTATATAGACGTTTTCTTGATTGCTTGCGTTCCGTGCTATTGATATTATGCTTCTGGAAGGTAAGTTGAAGTAGTGAATTTTATTGTTTACCAAGCGCTTTTCCTTATTTCGATCTTATTACAACCATTCTACAATTAAGGATATATTTTTCAAAATGTGATTTTCTTTATTATTTTTCTTTATTGTGTAGAAAATTTGGATACCTATTTGAAGTTAGATAATTCATAACGATCATACATAGTGCTAAGTGAATCTTTAATTAAAATTAGTATTGTAACGTGTACCTTGACTAATTATCATCATCTACCTAATCTATTATAAAAATTACTGTCCTAAAAAGCATTTGTTATCAAGTATAAATTCAATTTATATGATAAGTTTACAATAACATTTTTTTATAATTTTTATTATCCTTCAGTTTTGAAACGCCTTAAAAGTGTTACTCGTTTTAACAGTCTGAAATAAAACTTCTATATAAAAATGTTTTAAAGATAAGTTCGTAAGGGGACTACCCTTTGCATTATAATCACTAATTTTGGTAACAAACAATTATATACATCAATCACTATAATGATAAACCCATTTACGGTTGATAAACTTGGTCCAAAATTATTCTTAGTCTTCCTTTCCAATTAAGACCACATTATATAATTTTAGAAGTTTAAAACATAAAATGTAAAATATTTTCGCTCGATTAATTTATCTATTTAGGTGAAATTTATATTTAAATTACCACACTGTAATTATATGTATCCATTTTATTACAAATAATTAATTTAACCTTAATTTATTCGTCTTAATTATTTATTTATCTTTCGTTTCATAGTTTCGGTTCAGTGTTCTCATAATGGTTAAGTTAAAATGGCGCTTTTAGCGTCCAGTAAGCCGAAGTTTTGATCTTCACAAAGCTTACGTCATAAAGTTTACCGTTTCTCATTTAATAGCCTATTTTAATATTATAACGTGTTAAGATTTATTTTAAGATTATTTTTTTTATTATTTTTACATAGATGAAATGTGACGGCTTATTTATAATATACGATTTTATTTGATGGTTGTTAGATGAATGATGAATGAATGTCAGTGGTGGCCTAGTGGTTAATAACCCGCCTCTCATGCATGAGGGCGCGGGTTCGATCCTGGCAAGTAGCAATGTGATTATTTCGTGTCATATGTACTTTCTAAGAGTATTTAGACGCTACTGATAGACGGTGAAGGCAAACATCGTGAGAAAACCTAAATTTATAATTTCACAATTATAAGTTTGAAATCACCAACCTGTCTTGAGCGAGCGTGGTGATTAATGTTCAAACCTTCTCCATGTGAGAAAGAGGCCTTGCTCAGAAGTGGGCTCTGATAGGCTGATGACGACGGGATGAATGTTATAACTTATAATTGTTGCTTTTTGGTGTTAAGGAAGATTATAAAGATTTGTACTACATATAAATTTCTATGTGACATTTGTAACAGTATCAATTAACTTTTAGTTTAATTTACTCATTAATCAATTAACGATGAACTAAACCACATCCAAATTTTAAGTTTCTTATTTAAATACTAAATTCATGCTTCGTTACCAGCTAATGTA